GGTTTAAAAACATTTTTAAATTAATTTTTAAGAGGTGGGCAGTCAATATTTATTAGTTTTAAGAGGTGGGCAAACGATTATTTTCATTAATATTTAGTTTTAAAGGGTGGGCAGTGAATATTTTTTAGTTTTAAGAGGTGGGCAAACGATAATTTTTATAAAAATGTATTTTTAAAGGGTGGGCAGTCAATATTTTTTAGTTTTAAGAGGTGGGCAAACGTTTGTTTTTATAAAAATGTATTTTTAAAGGGTGGGCAGTGAATATTTTTTAGTTTTAAGGGGTGGGCAAACGATTATTTTCATTAATATTTAGTTTTAAGGGGTGGGCAGTGAATATTTTTTAGTTTTAAGGGGTGGGCAAACGATAATTTTTATTTATATTTAGTTTTAAGGGGTGGGCAGTGAATATTTTTTAGTTTTAAGGGGTGGGCAAACGATTATTTTCATTTATATTTAGTTTTAAGGGGTGGGCAGTAAATATTTTTTAGTTTTAAGAGGTGGGCAAACGATAATTTTTATAAAAATGTATTTTTAAAGGGTGGGCAGTCAATATTTTTTAGTTTTAAGAGGTGGGCAAACGTTTGTTTTTATAAAAATGTATTTTTAAAGGGTGGGCAGTGAATATTTTTTAGTTTTAAGGGGTGGGCAAACGATTATTTTCATTAATATTTAGTTTTAAGGGGTGGGCAGTGAATATTTTTTAGTTTTAAGGGGTGGGCAAACGATAATTTTTATTTATATTTAGTTTTAAGGGGTGGGCAGTGAATATTTTTTAGTTTTAAGGGGTGGGCAAACGATTATTTTCATTAATATTTAGTTTTAAGGGGTGGGCAGTGAATATTTTTTAGTTTTAAGGGGTGGGCAAACGATAATTTTTATTTATATTTAGTTTTAAGGGGTGGGCAGTGAATATTTTTTAGTTTTAAGGGGTGGGCAAACGATTATTTTCATTTATATTTAGTTTTAAGGGGTGGGCAGTAAATATTTTTTAGTTTTAAGAGGTGGGCAAACGATAATTTTTATAAAAATGTATTTTTAAAGGGTGGGCAGTCAATATTTTTTAGTTTTAAGAGGTGGGCAAACGTTTGTTTTTATAAAAATGTATTTTTAAAGGGTGGGCAGTGAATATTTTTTAGTTTTAAGGGGTGGGCAAACGATTATTTTCATTAATATTTAGTTTTAAGGGGTGGGCAGTGAATATTTTTTAGTTTTAAGGGGTGGGCAAACGATAATTTTTATTTATATTTAGTTTTAAGGGGTGGGCAGTGAATATTTTTTAGTTTTAAGGGGTGGGCAAACGATTATTTTCATTAATATTTAGTTTTAAGGGGTGGGCAGTGAATATTTTTTAGTTTTAAGGGGTGGGCAAACGATAATTTTTATTTATATTTAGTTTTAAGGGGTGGGCAGTGAATATTTTTTAGTTTTAAGGGGTGGGCAAACGATTATTTTCATTTATATTTAGTTTTAAGGGGTGGGCAGTGAATATTTTTTAGTTTTAAGAGGTGGGCAAACGATAATTTTTATAAAAATGTATTTTTAAAGGGTGGGCAGTCAATATTTTTTAGTTTTAAGAGGTGGGCAAACGTTTTTTTCCAAAAATATTCAGTTTTAAAGGGTGGGCAAACGATTTTTTCTTAAGGAAAAACTTATAATTAAAATAACTTTTGAAGTATAAATTTTTTCTAAATTCTAAAAGGTGGGCAAACGTGGGCAAACGATTCTCTTACGATTAAAAAAAAAAAAAATCGAATTCCAAAAATTTGTGACTTTCGAAAATTTTCGAAAATTTTCGAAATTTTATATCTCGAAAACTGGACGTGGGCAAAAAAAACTAATTGGTGGGCAAACATGGGCAAAAGATGGGCAAACGATTCCGCTATTCAAATTTCAAAAATTTCATTTTTGTCAACCCAGCTTCTTTGAGCTGCCACATGCTCATGGCCACATGGTCACATGGCCGTTTGTCATTTCCAGAGGCGCGCCAATTGCCAGAGTGGCCTGCCAAGCATTTCTGCGCTCTCTGTGTGAGAAAATGTGGCCAAACGGTTAATAACAGGGGAGTAGGTTGTGCGAAAAGGGGGGTTTCGGTCTGGGTTTGTGCTGGGGCTGGGGTTTGGGCTTGGGTTCAGGGGAGCTAGAGGGTGCGGCGACCGCAGAAACGGCAGCAACAGTCAACATAACTGAGCTTAAAGGAAAAGCGTGATCGAGGCACAGTTGCGGTCAATAGAATAACACTGAATATGTCAGTCAAATGGGGATTACAATTATGTTTCACCTGCTTACAAAGAGGGCGTGGAAAATTTGTAACTTTTAGGGAAAAACATGTGATTCTTTAACATTTTTAATTAAAAAAATTTTTTTTTTGTTTTTTATTCTGAAAAAATATTCGATTTCAAGGTTCAAGGTTGCGAATAACCTACTTCTATCTGTATACAATGATTCTTTAATATTTTTATTAAACACATTTTTTCCTTTTTTCTTTCCGAAATAAAAAAAATAAATAAATATTTTAAGAGATAGTTTTATATCTATATATTTTTTTTGAAATTTTTTATGAACATAGTGCGAATAACCTACTTTTATCCGTATATGCCATAGCATTCCCACCGCAACTGTGACCCGGCAGTATGTGATTCTGTGGAGGAGATTCCAGCGATGGCTGCCGGGACAGGAAACTTAAACTAGTTCTAGTACGAGTAGCTGGCTCTTGGATTCTAGCTGCTAGCTTCCAGCCGGGCCATAAACTGGGACACTTGTTGCGGCAACTTGGACACTCGATGGCTGGATGACTTGACTTGGCCTGGCTCTGCTGGGAGGCAATCAAACTGGCACTTGGCACAAACAGCCCCAGGATGACAAACACTCAAACTGAACCTTCCCACGCAGACGTCACTCCCATGCCGCCCCTGCCACTCCCGGAAAAGAGAAGCCAGCCTAAATTGTCTTAATGGACCATGAAGAGCCCGCGGAGATCCGAAAAAGAATACCCGATGATACTGCAGATGGCGGCAGGCGAGCGTAAATCTAAAAAACCGCCCAATTAAAAAAAAAAGTATGTATAGGTATATAAAAAATAAGGCGACACAGAAAACAAAATCACCAGCGAGGAGGAATGAAAACGAAAGAGTGAGAAAGAGAAAGATGTTGGCGTGGATAAGCCCAAAAGAAAGTTTTCTTTCATTGACAAAAATTTCTTACTCGACTGGGCTGTCTTTTTATTTTCCGCCGCGTACAACGAACTTGGCCGCGGGCTCAGGTCTTAACCCATTAAGATGACGAGGAAATTCTTGTGAATATTTTTAGGAAGCCTACAACTCCTTGGGCTCAACCATAAAGTTCTTACTTGTAGGAAGCACTACAAAAATGTTAGCAAAAAAAGATTTATCCTTCATACCAAAACAAATTTTTTTATTTTTATAATTTCCTTAAAAACATAATATCATAACTTATTCTAAATTTAAGGAAAATAAGTTAGAAATTTTTGAGCGAATTCAAATATCTCTGAAACATATCTATATATCCTACAGTTAAAATTCTTCTAATAGGTTTCTTAGGAAGTACTACAGAAATGTTAGCAAAAAAAGATCTATTCTTCATGGCAAAAAAAAATTTTTATTTTTATAATTTCATTACAAACATAAAATCATAACTTATTCTAAATTTAAGGAAAATGAGTTAGAAATTTTGGAGCGAATTCAAACATCTCTAAAACATATTTATGTATATATCCTCTAGTTAAAATTCTTCTAATAGTTTTCAAAACATCCCCTATTTTTCTATTTCGTCTAAGCCAAGGAAAATTGGTTAACTTTTTGGCCGATTTCTCTGATTTTCGCGTTAATGGGTTAATGTTTGGCATTAGTTACAGTTTTCCGTTGCGATACACGAAATTGACTTTACATATTTCAGGCAGCAGGCGATGTAACAGGTTGTTCGCCGGCCATCTCTTTCGCACTCTCGGGCATTTCGAAACGCTGGCGTCGCTGCTTTTACCTGTTGCGCTGCAGTTGTAGTTGTAGTTGTTGTTGCTGCAACAGAAACAACAACAACAGCTTGGATGCTGCACCGTCGGTTTCTGCTGCTGGTTTTGTTTGATCTTGTGTCTTATTGTTGCGCGTTGTCGTGTATCTTTCTGCCTGTTATTTGTTGCTTTTCCTCGGATACGATACTATCGGGCTCTCTCTTTCCCCCTCTCTCCCGCTCCCAATCCCTCTCTCGCTCACTCGAACGTTGAATTTATTGGCGCATATAAATGCCTCAAAATTGATGTTATTGTCGTCCGATCCGATATCCCTCTCCTTGTCTCCCCCTTTTTGTTTTTGTCCTGCTTGTTGTTTTGAAAATTGATTTTTACTCGGACTTTTATGGCCGTAGTGTCCGAGCGATAAGTGGAGGGAAAACCCGCCTTCGGTTGGGCCAAGAAAACCAGGGAAAAGCAGAAACAGAGACAAAAAGACGAAGAACAAATAGGCAAGGTGGGCGTAGCGCTGACAAAGTGGGCGTACCGAAGAGAATAGAGCAATTTTCGGGATCGAAGGGAAAAAAGAGGGGGCAATGAGTTAATTTCGAGTGGGCCGAGCCCAGGGATTTTTAGCCGAATGATGTGACGTGGGCATAATGCACGTAGAAAAGTATTGATGCAGTATTTGTTTAAAGTGCATTTCATAAAAACTAAATTTTAATAATTGTAACTGTAATTCTAAACTCTAAGGAAACTTCTATAAACCCATTGATTACCTGTGAACTTTAAAAATCTTTTAAAAATTCTTATAATTAAAGGCTTGCATTGAACTCTTCCATTAATAAGATAGAAATTACTTACTAACAGATTAGTACAATAGGCTAAGCAAAAATTTCCACTATCTTTTGATTTTTATAGATTGATTTCTTATACAAATATCTTATTTTTTTCCGTGTAGAGAAACGTGGGCTTGGAAAATTGCAACTTTAACCAAAGCAACTGCAATTGCTGTTGCCAATCTAACAGCAAAACTCACCTTTTTGCGAATGCCAGGAGATGTGTTTTTTATTCCAATCCAATCCTATCCCTCTCTCTTTCGCTCCTTCTCTCCTTTCAAAACAAATCACAAATATTTGCGCATGCGCGACTGCGCATTCCTGGGATACAGATACACACACAAACAGCCGCACAGGCACTCAATTCCGGCGTTTGTTTTGCGGCTAATTGTTTAAACAGCGCAAATTATTCTTCACACTAGTTTTATTTGTTTGTTTGTTGGATTTTCATCTTTTTTTTTTGGCTTCGCACAAACACATTCGCAGCGCACACGCAGTCGAATTCGCGCACTCGCTTATTTTTCTTGTATGTATCTTTTATTGGCCCCAGTTTTCGAGTTTTCATGCCCTTTTCAAGAGCTCGAGAGCCAAAAAGACGCGTCGCCTGCTGCGTTTTCGCGAACTATTTTCGCATCGCTGAAGCCTGAAGCCCGAAAAAGGCGGTTTGAGCCGGTGTTCCTTGCATTTGGAAACATTCGATGCCAGAAAACATTAATAAATTCACATCTACCGGCAATCTGTAACTGTGGGATTTTTTAAACGGCGAACGATCGCAGCGATTGTAGTCTTTTTCGTTTTATTTTAAACACTGTTTTATTCGGCACAAGACACACTCAATTTGCAAATATTTCCGCGTTTCTAGAGCTGTTATTTTCTTCGAGGGGTTTACTTTTTTCAGTTTTCAGGCTCTATTTTCACTTTTCCGCCAACAGAACCGCTTGCATCGAAAAATTTTTTTTAAATGAAAAAAGCAAAATATTTCTCGCAGTTCCAATTCAACTCTCTTTGCTCTCCGATAGTAACTCTCAGAGAGAGGATTGAATAGCAATCGATCTTTTAAGATCGGCTTTAGTTTTGATATCGAATGTAGTTGGTTCGAAACATCACTAAATCTAGCAGAGACGCAAGCCGATCTCTCGATAAATCGAGATTAAACTTTTAACGGAATTAAATCGTTTTGAACTGTAGAATTTTTAGATTTAGATTTAATTTCAGGAAATAACGTCAAAATAAAAATTTAGAAGTAGGCTCTTCATTAAAAACTAGGTAAGAAGATTCTCAATCCCAGAAACAAATATATGGGCAATTCTCTGGGGATGTCAACCAAGCTTGAAACTTGATAAAAACATATTTCTATTTTATTTTGCACTGATATTTGATTCTAGTTAGATGGATACTCAACTAAGTTAAGTAACTTGAATATCCTTGGATAATTTCCTAGGACAATACTTGTTATATGGACAAAAAAGTCCTTTTTTGGTTGTTGAATATAACAGTTTATTCGCCACAATCGATGTTTTTGTCACATCACCAAACATAAGGGCAAACGTAAGTGTAAGTTTACGTAACACCGGCTCTCCGTCTTTAAATTCAACTCTCTCCGCTCTCCGAGAGTTACTCTCAGAGAGAGCATTGAAAGCCACCGATAGCCGAAAGCCATAACCGTTTTGAGGCAATCGATCTTTTACGATCGATTTTAATTTTGAAATGGAATTAAATTGTTTTGAACTGCAGAATTTATAGATGTTGAGTTAATTTCAGGAAATAACGTCAAAATAGAAATGTAGAAGCATCCCCTTCATTAAAACCCAGTTAACTTTATTCTCAATTCCGATTCGATCCCAGAAACGAATATTTCTCCCTTGGCTGTGCATTTACTTGGACCAATTTAATACTTTCAAGTCAGCTTTACATAACGTGTGTAATTTGATCGTATGTATGTACATAAAAGCATAAAATATATTGCAAAAATACATATGTATACATGGTATGTGTGTTATATAATTCTCTCTATAAAGGTTGTAAATCTTGCGTACGGCTGTTAATTAGAATATTTGTTTACATCTGAACACTTAAAATCCACCGTCCTAATCCACTTACAACTTTAGACCTACATTCTAGCTTGTTTAACGCGTGTTTGAGTGTTCTTTTTTTGTTGTTGTTGTCGTTGAGTCCGTGTGCATTATTCTGTAAATCTGTTCAACATTGCGGCATTGTTCGTTAAAAATGGTTGTTTAAAATATAAATATCGATAATTTAACAGGTAAAAAGAAATAATTTCGTAAGAGTAGTTGGTTAAAACAAACAAGGGGCAACAAATCCGTAAAATATGTATACACAAGTCGTCTGTGCTATCTCTTCCAAGCGATCATAAAGACGCCTGCTCCGTGACCAGCACCACGCTCTGCTCCTGGGCGATGGCCGCCAGCTCCTTGAGCCACTCATCCATGAGCACGGCGCACAGGGCCAAGTCCCGGGATCGTTCGGTGCCGCTCGTGCTGGCGATAATTCCCATGGAGGCCACCGAGTCAAGGGACACTGGTTCGGAGTTGAAGCCACCAGTCGACGGGCCTCCGTCCAGGCCGTGCAGCGTGCTCGTCGAGTGGTTGGTGGCGTTCGACTGGGCGGAGAGGGTTTGGGTGGATCCCCCGATGCTGCTGCTGCTCCCAGAGGCCGCTGACGAGGTGGTCGTGGCTCCAATTCGTGATGCTCCCGATTGCGGTTGCGTACTCAAGCTGGTCTCGCATGTGCCGCCGCCCGTCTGCCCTTGTGGAAAACCTCTTCCCTCGGCACTGGCATTATTCCCCACCAGGTTCGAAGCAGCTCCTAAAAATTTCAAGCGCTATTAGTTCAAGATCATAATTCTATTGAAGTTTTTGGGTTAATTGTAACAGCAACAATAATAACAAATACATGGAGTTCTACAAATGTTCATCATACTAAACTTTAAACTAATTTTCTAAGGTTTAGTGGGAAAGCAGAAGGTACAAAGCTCTACAGAAATAACGAGACTACGCACTAAGTTTAACAAGACAATGCAGGGTTAGGTTTGATTAAAAACTTTAAATACTTTTATCAAGCGTGAAATATTTACCGGTGAAGAATGCGTAAATTTGTGATAAGCCAGATGAAGCTAAGATTTGTTTTGTATTTTTTCGTTTCAATAAAAAAAAAAAAAGAAATAAAAGAAATTAATTTATTATCAACGATGCCTGCGGGCATTTTACAGAGATATGTGTGAGCCAATAAAGCCCTGAATGAGACCTGTTCGTGATAGTTACATAAAAATGTACTTCATTCAATGATTTTAATGACTTTATCGTTTCAGGCTCTAATGCAGGGCTCAAAGTGTGTGTAAATGTGTGTGTTTTGTGAGTGATGTGTGAATATCTTGACCCAAAACCAACTTTCTTCCAACATCCAACGCTGCAGATTTGTAAACTGTTGGTGATTTCTATTTTGTTTGCTTGGTTTTTCTTTTTTAGAAATATAGAAGTTGTGCAAAAGTGTGGCAGAAACGTGTTTCAGCTGCAACTACTCACCGGGGGAGCCATTCGGAGGCGCCGTCGACGAGGAGTTTGATTTCCTGCTAAACATGCTGGTGATGGATTTGCTTATGCTGCGCCTCTTGTTGTCGCTTCGCTTAAAGGGATCGTAGGCGCTGGTGGGCGTGGCCTGCACGGGCGTGGCAGCCGAAAGAGTCGCGTAGGCGGACCGCAGTTGTCCCTGCTGCTGGCCGGAATTGCTGACCACCTGCTGCTGTTGATTGTGATGCATTGGCGAGCCCTCATTGCCCTTCCTTGCGTTGGCCAAACGAAACTCGCGATCAATCAGTGACGAACGCGCCACATCAATGATCTCCAGCGAATCCTCCGTCACGGGCAGCTCAGCATCTATCTGTTGCTTCAAAATACGCAGCACCTGGTGAAACGAGGGCGTATCCGAGGTGATGGCGATGTCAGAGCGCAGCAGCAGCGAGTGAATCAAGGGCAGGGGATACCAGGCCAAGCGGGTTATCAGCCCGGTCAGGTGAAGATTGACATACAGCGAGTTGCTCGTGAAGGTTTGCAGTTTGCCCCAGATGGCATTCAGAAAGGGACCTAAAAAACAATGAGATTAGTAATAAGAAATACATTTAGTTAGGTTTACAACTCTCACCCAAGCTTACGGTGCCCTGCGCAAACAAATCCTCCGAGAAATCCAGATCCGTCAGTAGCAACTCATTGCGATTGTTGTGCGATACGCGCCAGGCTTCTCGTCTGCTAATGCTGCTGCTGTTGTGCTCCAGCTCCGCCTCGCTGGCTGTGGTGGCCAAGGTCGAATCCGTGGCCTCGCTCTCCTCGTCCGCCGGTCGCCACTTGAAGGACTCGTAGCCGCTGGACTCGCCTATCGATTGCAAGCTATCCAGCTGCTTCTCACCCGACTCGCTGGGGATAACAGCTACTCCACCTCCTCCGAATTCGCTGAAGAACTGCCTGGCCAGTTCCAGGGCGTGGGCGTGAACTTTTCCCTGTCCGTGGCGTGGCCACTTTTGGTAGCGATAGCTGTTGGCCCACTTGAGGCAATCCCTTTGACACTGGGCGATTCGCCAGTGGGCCTCGAAGAGATAGGCTTGGATATTAGCATACAAACTATCACCAGTGTGCACGCCGTAATAGTTCCAGTTGGCTCCGATCGTCTTGCTCATCACCGGCGACGGGAGACTGGGCAGCGGCGTTAGATCACCCACCACCTGCTCGTGGACACTCTTGGGCCTGGCCAGATCCCGGGCCCGCTTCATCACATCGGGCGAGAGGTCCAGGAAGAACTCACTGCTGTTCAAGTACGGATCGATCTTGTTGATCTTGTGGCGATGCGAGATGGGCACATGCTTGCCGGGCAGCATGAACTTGAGCAGCAGCTCCAGCATCAGATCCTCGCAGTGGAGTCCCAGCAGGGTGTCAAACAGGGCCATCGTGACCATGCAGAGATTGGCATCCGGTGAGTTCAGGCGCTCAACCAGAGCATCCAGTATCCGTTCACCGTCAAACTTTTCCGTGTCGAGCAGAAAGCGCACGAAGGCGCGCAGCAAACCGGGTTCCGTGATGGAGCGCAGGATGAGGTCCAGATACGACATGGCCGAGATTTGCGAGTCGATGTTCGTCTGAAAATGTTTGCCCTTCAGTGTCTGCGAAAATGGAGCGCAAAAAGTTGTTTCGAGATTTCGAGGTGTGTGTGTGTGGTTAGCTACGGGGGAGGAAAAGGTACGAGAAACACACAAGAAACGGAAAGCCCAAGGCGGTGCAGATCCCTAGAAGCTAATAAAGTAGATATTGGCAAGGCCCGGTTCTTAAAACATACTATTTAGATTTCTTTATTTATTTACGCGCATGTTTTAAACAAAAAATGTCAACAACTTTTAACAACAACAAATTGAAATTACTAGTATTCAGTATTACTGTTCTTTAATATTAAATTGAAATTACTAGTAATAACTATTACTGTTTTTAATATTAAATTGAAATTACTAGTATTCAGTATTACTGTTCTTTAATATTAAATTGAAATTACTATTCTTTAATATTAATCACTCTTCTTTGATATTAAATTGAAATTACTAGTATTCAGTATTACTGTTCTTTAATATGATATTGAAATTACTAGTATTCAGTAATATATAAAAAATTGACAAAACAAATCTCCAAATCACTTTTTAAAATTATTTAACGCAAAACTTTCATTAAAGATTCCTTAACCAATATCTACGGAATTATCTTATTTCAAGACTTTTTCGAATAAAAAATAGACGTAGGACATAATGATTCGCTTGCAACCAACACCACAGAAATGCATCGAAGACAAATTTTTACGAAGAGAGACCGAGACGAGACAAAAGCTTTGGCAGGACTCACCTGAAGGATCGCCGGTCCCAGGACGGGCACAATGAAGCCCTGGTACATGAAGTCCAGCAGCTGCTGCTTGATCATCTCGTGGGCCACCTGAACGACGGCATTGCAGAACTCCAAAGCGTTCATGAAGAGCGTCAGCTCGGGGATCTCCGTCACATCGTCCGGCGTGATGCGATGCCAGTCAATGGAGCTGATCTCGATGCTGTTGGGCAGACGTGAGTAGAGACCACCCAGGCCGGTCACCAGCAGCGGGCAGATCGAGGAGTACTGGGCTATGTACGTGCCGATGTTGGAGTTCTTCTGCGAAAGCGCCATGCACAGGAGCAGCGCATCGCGGGCCTGGTGGCCAAGGCTGCCCTCGCGATGGACGTACGGGATGAGCAGCGAGAAGATGATGAAACTGCAAGTACATTGGATAATTAATTGAAGCCAGTTTAATGCCGTCACCATTTATGGGTGTATTATTTGTTGTATTCCTGCCTTATCAAGCTATCGCCGCTTTTTTTCGTTGATGAATCATAACATAAATTTGGACTAAGCGCTTTAACACTTGATAATACACGAAATACTACATTCTATTAGGCTTTTTAATACATTTCAAATAGAGCCCTGCGTGAATCATTTAATTTTTGTGTTATCATTCAATTTTTTTATTATAAAAATTGAAAAATTATTTTTATTTTTTAATTTTTATTTTAAAAATCATGTGAATTACGATCCCTGATTCTATGTGAAATAAATTTAATGTTTTTTTAATTCATTTCAAATTAAATGAAAGAAAGAATTATTTTTATGCATTTTTTGAATTTGCCAGATTTCTTTTGTGCTTTCTTTTGAGTACAAAAAGTGGACAATTTTTAACAAATCAATGTTAACTGCATAGTAAATAAAATCCAGGCAGATTTAATCACAAAATTATGGCCCTTTCTTTCTCAAAAGAAATTGTCGTTTGAATTATTTCGGAATTCATGCCATTCATTCATTCAATTCTATTAAACTCAGAATTCAAATTCTATTAAACTCAAAATTCTAATTAATTCATTCATATAAAAAAAAAAAATTTTAAATAATTCATTGAATCTATTCATGCAGGGCTCCAATTTTAAACTCTATTTCGCTCACTTGGTTGTGGTTCCACTTTTGGGCTGCGCCACGTTGCCATTGAGTATCTGCTCCTGGACCTGCGTCTGGGCGGAGAAGAAGAAGAGGTCCAGCAGGTGGACGTTCTGCATGAGGACCACGCACAGCTGGTTCAGCAGGATGACGAGCCGCTTCTCGAGATCGGGCGGGAAGATCTCGCCCTGGCTGGAGGCCAGTATCTTGAGCAGGGGCCGAAGGAAGGGTTCGTGGCAGAGGAGCTGGTGTCGCGAGTGGCTGACGAGCAGTTCGTACAGCTTCAGCTGCTCCAGACGCACTGCGTTCGCGTAGCGTCCCGTGGTGCAGGCCCATTCGTACAGCTTGTCCAGCAGATTCTCGCTGAGCAGGAATTCCAGGCAGGGAGCCGCCGGCGGACCACTGGCCTCGGCCGCCGGCAGCGAGACCTTGTTGCAATGATGCAATTCGACGAGCAGCAGGGTGACCATGTAGTCCAGGTGGGAGACCACGCCCAGGACGTCGTCGTGGGAGGGCGGAGCGCTGTGCTGGATGATCTCGTGGGCCTGCTGCCAGTGCTTGCAGAAGCTGTCGTAGCAGGCGCGCGGATCGCAGTCCGTGGCGGCGTCGATGGGTCGCTGGCGGAGTGGGCCGCCGTGTCCAGCGGAGGCAACGCCCCCGCCGCTGCCGCTGCTCTGCCGCAGCCACATTATGTATGTGTGTGCGTAAGATTTGGTGGCTTTTACAGCCGCTGGTCCGCTGATAACTGCTCCTCCGTGTGCGTTGCGTTTGCTATCTCGTTTTGTGCTTTTGTCTGGTGAGTATTTTGAATGTTGCCTGTTTTTTGTAAATATTTAAAAGCTGAAAATAAAAAAACGGGGGTTAGTAAAATACTAGCTATTTACAAGAACAACAAGTGCACGCCGTGACACACTTACGCTCACACACACAGGCAGGTACAACCCACACTTATGTAGCCATTGTTGTTGCTGGTGGTTGCTCACCTGATGAATTTGGCTTTGATCGTCGTCATCGTCTTGGCTGCTATCTTCCGCTCTCCAAGCCTCGTCTCGCCACGCCCATTATCACCTTGCAGCGCCCTATTTACGTGGGCTCTTACGCCTGCAGCATTTGCAGCGCTGCTTTTTTTTGGCACTTCACTTGGGCAATTACAATTACAAATACAATTAAGTGCTTGTACTTGTACCAACACTTCCGCAGATCTGCGGACTAGGTTCGCGTCCTTGCAGCTCGGATTTCGCGCATTTACCGCCGTTTTTGTGGTCAGCAGGGGGGAGGCAATCCAGCCCACACTTTATTGCTTCATTTTTCACTATTTTCGTGCGTTTCGAGTGCAATTTTTCGCGTAAATATTTACAATTATCTGCGCACGGAAATAGAAAGTTAGCGATGTGCAACTGGTAGTGAAATATATCGATATATTGGAAGTAGCAGAGGTGATTCTTGCATTATCGAGATTTTATGAAATCGAGAAATTAAATATTTCTCTTTTAAAAAAAATTTTTTTTACTTGGACTAATTTATGTCCCTTTTTCATACAATATAAAAAACATATACAAAACCTATAAAATAAATACATTTTTATTATTATTCAAGTGTTTTACTTTAGCCGATATATTATCGACGATACTTATGTGTGACCAGACTTGTGCCATAAGTCAGCTGTTTGCAAGACCGCCATTTGAAATTCAAGAAATAGTAATCAGGTGGTTGAAATGGTAAATAAAATAGTTTACCTTATTTATTTGTATTATTTTAACATGGATTTCCCTAAAGCGACGCAGTTTGGCGCCCAGTCAACGGGGCCCCCAGCGTCCCGAGTCGCGGCACTCCTTCACGCCGCCGCTGCTGAAGAAGAACAAAAGGACATGCCAGCAGGAACTGGAGCGGGAGCAGGAGCTGGACAGGAAGCGCCAGAGCGCCCTGCGCGATGACACCAATACCGTAGAGCTCCCACTGCCCATTCGCATGGCGAACAGCGAGTACGAGCGGGCCATTGCCAAGGTGCTGGCCCGGAAGTTCAAGGTGCCCATGGACAACTACATACCGGATTACGGGGGCAAACGAGTCCTGGGCGTTCGGCGCTGCGTCACCCGGCGACCCCTGCACGATCCACTGGCCTGCAACGCCCTGGTGCTCTACCATCCGCCGGAATACACGGAGCACGAGCGCATGGCCATGGATCCCAGCCAGATTCTGGTCCACGTAGTGGTGGATCCGCTGCTCAGCAACATCCTGCGGCCCCATCAGCGTGAGGGAGTGCGCTTCATGTACGAGTGCGTGGAGGGAAAGCGGGGCAACTTCAATGGCTGCATCATGGCCGATGAAATGGGCCTGGGCAAGACGCTGCAGTGCGTCACCCTGGTGTGGACACTACTGCGGCAGAGCGCCGACTGCAAACCGACGATCAACAAGGCCATTGTCGTGTCGCCGTCGTCGCTGGTGAAGAACTGGGAGAAGGAGTTCACCAAGTGGCTGCAGGGAAGGCTCCTCTGCCTGCCCATGGAGGGAGGCAACAAGGAGAACACCATTCGAGCCCTTGAGCAATTCTCCATGACCTCATCCCGGCTGGGAACGCCCGTCTTACTCATCAGCTACGAGACATTCCGCATCTATGCGGATATTCTATGCAAATACGAGGTGGGAATGGTGATATGCGACGAGGGGCATCGCCTCAAGAACAGCGACAATCTCACATATCAGGCTTTGATGGGTCTGAAGACCAAGAGGAGGGTCCTGCTCTCTGGAACGCCCATCCAGAATGACCTGACGGAGTATTATAGCCTGGTGAACTTTGTCAATCCCGAGATGCTAGGATCGGCGGCCGTTTTTAAGAGGAACTTCGAGAGCAGCATTCTGCGGGGCCAGAATGCAGACTCCACGGAGGGGGAACGCAAAAGGGCCATTGAGAAGACGCAGGAGCTGATTGGACTGGTCGATCAGTGCATCATCCGTCGCACTAATCAGATCCTAACCAAATACCTGCCTGTTAAGTTCGAGATGGTGATCTGTGCGAAACTTACGCCGATTCAGCTGGAGCTTTATACTAATTTCTTGAAATCCGATCAAGTGCGACGTAGTTTAGCAGGTAAGTTAATCTGTTATTTATTTAAAGCTTTAAAACAATCATTATTCTTTTAAGACTGCAATGAGAAGGCCTCGCTGACGGCACTGGCGGACATCACAACCCTGAAGAAGATTTGTAGCCATCCGGATCTCATTTATGACAAGCTCATTGCGCGGGAAAAGGGATTCGAGAACTCGCAGAACGTGCTGCCTAGCAATTACAAGCCAAAGTATGTTTAGTTGTGAATGGTGAAGATTTTATTGACTATTTTTCCTACAGGGATCTCAATCCAGAGCTTAGTGGAAAGTTTATGCTCTTAGACTTCATGCTGGCCGCCATACGGGCCGATGGCAATGACAAGGTGGTGCTCATCTCGAACTACACACAGACCCTGGACTTGTTCGAGCAGCTAGCCAGGAAGCGAAAGTATGGGTTTGTTCGCCTCGATGGCACCATGTCCATCAAGAAGCGCTCGAAGGTGGTTGACCGGTTCAACGACCCGGAGTCCGACAGTTTCCTGTTCATGCTGAGCAGCAAGGCCGGCGGTTGCGGCTTGAATTTGATCGGAGCCAATCGCCTGTTCATGTTTGATCCGGACTGGAATCCGGCCAACGATGAGCAGGCAATGGCCAGAGTGTGGCGAGATGGACAGAAGAAGCCGTGTTACATTTATCGCCTGGTAGCCGTGAGTATCTCAGATATTTCTTTGAAATTTTACTAGAAAATTGTCTTTTTTAGAGCGGTTCTATTGAGGAAAAGATCCTGCAGCGGCAGACGCACAAAAAGTCCTTGTCCAGCACAATTATTGACAACAACGAGTCGGCCGAGAAGCATTTTACTCGCGACGACCTCAAGGATTTGTTCACATTTGATGCTAATATTCTATCCGATACGCACGACAAGTAAGCACTTAAATAGGCACCTTATTGGTTTTAATTTAAACATTATTTTAATATTTTTTTTAAGACTCAAGTGCAAGCGCTGCGTGCAAAATATCCAAACGAAGCCACCGCCCGATGACACGGACTGCACCTCGCATTTGTCCCAGTGGTATCATTGCTCCAACAATCGAGGCCTGCCCGACAGTATTCTCGCCCAGTCGTGGACGGACAGCAAATGCGTGTCCTTTGTCTTTCACCACCGGTCGCAGGCTCAAGAGATTGTGGCGAAGGCAGAGGAGGAACCGTTGGAGGAGGAAAAACCCATCAGTCGCAAGCGTTTATCAACTCCCCTCAGTGACGATAGTGCCGACGAGGATTTCGTTGGATTCTAGGCAATGGTTTGCAGTTTATTGTTTATCAACTGGCCGATTTTCGTTTACTTAAGTCTAAGCTTAAGATAGTTTTTTCTGGCTTCCCTCGCAATCTTAACAATTAAATAGTTTAACATTTCAAAAATGGAACCAGCACAAAATGTCAACGTGCTAGGGATAAAAGCTCTGGCAAACTAGGAATCAGTCCAGATTTCGAGTTTATTTCTTTTGAAATACTGATTAATTTCTATAGTCTAAAATGGTCGCCAATTGTACGAAATTATAGGTTAAATAAACTTCGCGACGAAAGGAGTTTGGAAAAATTCGGATTCTAATGTGGAATTATAGTAGATATTTAAAATCAACAGCCAACTCCGCTAGCACGTTACTCTCTGCGCATAAAAGCAACATGGCATTTAGCAACGTCCGGATTAAAACCCTGTCAGATACAGATTAATATTATGTGTGTGTATATAAGTATTAAACCATTCGCAGTGTTAACACAGTCAATTGAACACTTGATGTCTAGAAGTTATACATCAATGATTTTATGCTCCAGCTCCACCCAGACATTGCTCTTCTCCGGCGCCTTCAGAAGCGGCGAAGGCTGCTGCTGTAGCTCGGCTAGAAATCCTCCGATGGCCTGATAGTACCTATGAATTAACCACACAAAGAATAAAGAGGAAGTAGTCTTTAAAAGCGAGCTCATACCCGTCCACTATCCAGGTGTCGTTGTGCGATCCTCCAGGGAACTCGATCAGGCGCTTCAGCTCGCTGCCGCATTTGGTATACAGGCCACGCATCATGCGCGGCGGCACAAGTTGGTCCGCAAGGCCGGATATAAACAGAAAGGGAACCGAACACTTGCCTATCTTGCTCATGGAGTGATACTACAAAGGTGTCGACGACAGGCAATAAAGTTACACATAACATAAACAAGCGAAATAACGACCCACCTTGTTCTTAAACAATAGATTTGGTATATACTTCACAGAGGGGTGCACCAGTTCCACGGCCATTTCGGGTATGCTGCTAAAGGTGTTCTCCACAATGGCGCACATTAGCTTCTGTCCATAGACGGTGTCTGCGGCCACGTCAACGACCACGGCTCCGCCCAGGGAGCGTCCGAAGAGGATCAGTTGCGAGTGATCCAGGTCGTGGCGCGTGTGCAGGTAATCAATGGCCGCTCTGGCGTCCGTAACCAGACCTCTTTCAGTGGGTACTCCAGTGGAAAGGCCATAGCCTCGGTATTCCACCATTAAAATATTACAATGCAGATGGTGGTAGATGCCCCAGACCTGAAAAGTGGGTGGGAATGTTGTAAGGTCTCGTTTTTCAGTGGTTTTTGGGTTCTACTAACGTTCTGCATGCGGTGGCCCATGTTGCCAGCGTTGCCATGGAAGTAGAGCAGCGTGGGCACCGACTTGGAGCGCTCCTCCGGCTGGCTAATCCAGAAGGCGTGCAGCGTGACATTGTCCGGGGTTTTGATGCTGACCGTGATGTGCGGCAGGTTGTGCATCGTGGGAATGGGTATGTAAATACGGGAGTTTGCTGGCAGGTCCGGGTGGTAGAGCAAAAGGTCCTGGGCATAGTAGAATATCACTGCAAGGGGAAGATTCGATATATTAAGACCGAAAAGATGATTTAAGGCAAATACGTACGCAGGATGATTCCAGCGAAGAGCACCAACGTCATGTAACCCCCGTAGAAGTAGTAGAAAATGAAGCACAGCAGAAAGGATGCCAGAACTCCCACTCCAACGCCCCGCGACTTGGGCAGAGCGATGCCCACTTCTTTCATGTTCGCCTGCTTGGCCAGCTGCGCTACATGTCCAGTGCTCTAATTTAATTAAATTGCATTAATTCCAGCACCCGAACGCAAGCACCGTTGTAATTGTACACCGCCCACAGCTGACTTGGAAGACACCTGTGCGTTGCGATAAGTTATCGATAGCACGTACAGTAAGCACTGGCTACTGGCAAAAACGATAACGTTCAAAAGCAGGGAGACTGATTTTATATAGGGAAAGTAATTTATTAACTTAATTATTTCATTTAATTATTATTATTTGAGACTTAAATATTTAAAAATTGTCTAAAATAAAATGTAATAGTAGCACAAATTAAATTAGGGTATTTTCAAAACTTTTAAATAAATTAAACATTTACATTTTTGTTTTAGAATTTTTTAACATCTGCGATTAGTGGTCCAAATCGATGGAGCTAAAAACATACTTTCATTAATTTTTTATTGTTAGTTCTTGTGAAATTATTTGAGATTCCAGTGCTGGTTTTCTACAATGCAGACCGGGGTTGTTGAATTGCTGATTTTTTAAAATTTAACTCGTGTTTTTTTTAAAATTTAACTTGTACGTGACAGCTGATATACAGCTGACCGAACTCAATTGTAATTATTTATTTTCGTGCTCCTACAGTGGAACATTGTTTTAACAAACAGCTTAAAGAAAAAAAGCTCCTTAAAATAGTAAAATTAAAATTAATTTATATGTTTACAATAAATTGTATTTAATAATTTATTTGCCAGCACGATACATCCCATATCATCACTGTCGCCCAAGTGCCATCTCTATTCAAGCATGCACGGGCACACTAATCCAAGATGGTGGAAAGATTTCTGCTGCGTCGCATGAGTAAAACGTGAAAAACGATCTTTTTGTTTCGAAAAAGTGCATTTAAAAACAAGTGGCCTGCAGGAAAAACATAAACATTCGCCAGCGAACGCATGCAAGTGAATTGCCCGTATTTAATGAGCGCTACAAGGCAACTGTGTGTGCTACCACGACAATATAATGAGCCAGGTGAGTAGGCCTTGAAAAAGCTGTGAATATCGAACGTCGGTGTGTGTGGAAAAGTCGGAAAAACTATGAATTTCTCCCATCATTCGAAACGGGACGAATCGAATCACTTTGATCCCAGTTGTCGTGTGAGTATGAACGTAAAACAAGTGCTACATACGAGCCCGAACGCTCCGTTTAGTGGGCGTGGCAGCTGCTCAGCCCCAAAGTCCGTAGAAGTCCCCTCGTCGCGCGAGACACCCGCACTTTGATGGCTGGCCGTGCGGCTGCTGGCGGAGCACTGGGACAAAAGGATTAATTTAGCCATTACTCCAACTGTGTTTCATCCTTCCAACGCTGCCGGAACGCTCCCAACACTCCGACGTGGCAGCCAAGGTGGATTTTGTGAAAATCCATTGGGTACCCATTTTCGCAAATTCTACTCAAATTCAAGAATTTCGGTTTGTTTTCATCGAATGCGGCCGTAAAAATCCTTCAATTTCCATGGATTTCATTCCTTTTTCGTCCAAATTGAAAATTTTCATCGATTACGTAATCAGAAATTGCTAGGTGCAAAGTTTTCTCTCGCAGATTTCTGACCAATTTCCTGGGGATTTCGAACCCGCCAAAAGCAACCGGCAAGGCATTTTGCAGAATTCCAGCTCATTTTCGAGGAAACAATTATTTAAAATAATTTTTCCCCATTTGCCAAATCTATTTCCACAGTTTTGTGCCTTTTTCAGGGAAAGATCGTGTCCAGGAGACGGAACACCCGCTTGTTTCTAAAGGATTTCCTGGTTTTTGGCCACCAGGAAGAAGTGTCTTGTGATTACCGCGTTCCGTGTTAAGTGGTCATGTGATTCCGGCGTATGCTACCTAAAACCGTGACCAATGATCGATTTCCTCGACCTTTTTGGTCGGTAAAAGTGATTTAAACGAATTTCTGGAGAGGATTGGCGGTGTGGGAGCCACCAACGGACTCTTAACTAAAAGTTTACCCACTCGGTTTTCTTTCTTTACCTTTTTACTAACGGTTAAGATCAATATTTTCAAAGTGAAGCGTGATTTTATTAAGAATTTACCGCTTTTAAAGTTGTGTCCAAGTCTGGACAGGATTAGGCTTCTATTTTCTCTAAAAAAGCCAACTTGAGTCTTGCGTAATGGTCATCTGGTTAGGTAAAACAGTGCTCTTCTCTTGAGGAACCAAATAAGGGATATATTTAAACTTTTCTACCATTTTCCGTCAATTTTAAAGTAGGATAGTGAAGATTTGGACAGGATTAGCCGGCTTTGAGCCCGTGTTGATACTCAAAGTGTTTTGTTTCACACGGTTCATCAAATACCAATTAATTTACCCTCACCGTAGATTAATTTAACCTTTAATTTCTTTAAAACCACCCAGGCACTCAATGAATCGGCGAATAGTATTGGCTCAGACGAACAAGATGACACCCGGGATGAGACCAATGGCACCGACCATAGTGGCAGTGGCAGCGGCAGTGGCTCCTCCGGCTCCGACTCGGATTCGGACAGCTCCTCGGGAAATTCCAGCGATGGACGCAGCTCGCCGGAACCAGAGGACAAATTGCAATCGGTGGCAGGATTTCCACCGACAGCCGCTGCTGCCCAGGCGGACAGCAAGACGAACGGGTTCACAGACGACCAGGAGGAGAGCTCCAGTGAGGGTTCCAGTGGCAGCGATTCCGATTCGGATGCTGAGGGCCCAGCAGACCAAAACCAGACCAACAACAATGCCAACTCAAGCAGCAGCCTGTCCAAGGAGGAGCAGGAGGACAATGAGACTGAGGCTGGTCAGCAGCAGCAGCCAGCCAGCGATGCCTCTGCGGATGAAGCAAGTGATAGTTCAGCCAATGTCTCGCCCACATCCTCCAGCAGCAGCAGTGTAAGTGGGCATACTCGGTTACTTTCCTAAGAGTTCCTAACCTTTCTCCTTAAAGGAGGAGGAGGAGGAGGACTACAGACCCAAGAGGACGCGCCAGGCGCGCAAACCACCGACTGCCGCTGCGGACAAATCCAAGAAGGCTCCTGCTACCAAGAACAAAAAGAAAACGTGAGTTTAGTCAGGCTTCTCTTATCGTATTTTCTTCAAAGCCTTGGTTTTCTTTTGCCAGCTGGGACTCGGACGAAAGCGATGAGAGCGAGGACAGCGAGGAGGATGTGTCCGCCGCCCACAAGCGCAAGGCAGCAGCCACTACCTCCAGAAGCAAACCAGCACAACAGCAGCAGCAGCGACGCCGGGTAAAGTCCTTCAGTTCCGAGGACAGTGACGATGAGGATGCCAGCAAACGGTAATGATCTCCACTCTAAAGCTTCGTACCTTTTCCTGATCCCTGTCAATCCCTCAGCTGCGCCACCCGCCGCACGGCCGCCGCAGTTAGCTACAAGGAGGCCTCCGAGGATGAGGCCACCGACTCGGAGGATCTGCTGGAATTCGAGTACGATGAGAGCCAGGCAGCCACCACTGCAGCCGCCGCCGAGGAGGAGGAGAAGTGCGAGACCATTGAGCGGATACTGGCCCAGCGTGCTGGCAAAAAGGGATGCACTGGCAACCAGACCACGATCTATGCCATCGAGGAGAATGGTTTCGATCCAAATGCCGGCTTCGATGAGAAGGAAAGCTCGGAGGCGGAGTGCCAATTCCTGATCAAGTGGAAGGGCTGGTCGTACATCCACAACACCTGGGAATCGGAGGCTACGCTGCGCGACATGAAGGCCAAGGGCATGAAGAAGCTGGATAACTTTATAAAGAAGGAACAGGAGCAGGCCTACTGGCGACGCTACGCGGGTCCCGAGGACATTGACTACTTTGAGTGCCAGCTGGAACTGCAGCACGAGCTGCTCAAGTCATACAACGTGGTGGATCGCATCATTGCCAAGGGCTCGAAGCCAGACGACGGCAGCGAGGAGTATCTGTGCAAGTGGATGTCGCTCCCGTACGCCGAATCCACGTGGGAGGATGCCGCCTTGGTGCTGCGCAAGTGGCAGCGCTGTGCGGAGCAGTTCAACGAGCGCGAGAACTCCAAGTGCACGCCATCGCGTCACTGCCGAGTGCTCAAGTATCGTCCGAAGTTCTCGCGCATCAAGAATCAGCCCGAGTTCCTCTCGGCGGGCCTCACGCTGCGGGATTACCAAATGGACGGCTTGAATTGGCTGCTGCACTCGTGGTGCAAGGAGAACTCGGTGATACTGGCTGATGAGATGGGTCTGGGCAAGACCATCCAGACAATTTGCTTCCTCTACTCGCTGTTTAAGCTGCATCATCTCTACGGACCGTTTCTGTGCGTCGTTCCTCTCAGCACCATGACTGCTTGGCAGCGGGAGTTCGATTTGTGGGCGCCTGACCTCAATGTAGTCACTTACCTTGGCGACATTAAATCCCGCGAGCTCATCCAGCAGTACGAGTGGCAGTTTGAGGGCTCCAAGCGGCTCAAATTCAACTGCATTCTCACCACCTACGAGATTGTGCTGAAGGACAAACAATTCCTGGGCACGCTGCAGTGGGCCGCGCTGCTGGTGGACGAGGCGCATCGTCTGAAGAACGACGATTCGCTGTTGTACAAGTCGCTCAAGGAGTTCGACACCAATCATCGCCTGTTGATAACTGGTACTCCACTGCAGAATTCGCTCAAGGAGCTGTGGGCCCTGCTGCACTTCATCATGCCGGATAAGTTTGACACGTGGGAGAATTTCGAGGTGCAGCACGGGAATGCCGAGGACAAGGGCTACACTAGATTGCATCAGCAGTTGGAGCCGTATATTCTGAGAAGAGTAAAAAAGGACGTGGAGAAGTCGCTGCCGGCCAAAGTGGAGCAGATTCTGCGTGTGGAGATGACCTCGCTGCAGAAGCAGTACTACAAGTGGATCCTCACCAAAAACTTTGATGCGCTGAGGAAGGGCAAGCGCGGCAGTACCTCCACCTTTCTCAACATAGTCATCGAGCTGAAGAAGTGCTGCAATCATGCTGCTCTTATAAGACCCTCGGAGTTTGAACTTATGGGTCTGCAGCAGGATGAGGCGCTGCAAATGCTGCTCAAGGGTTCCGGCAAGCTCGTGCTGCTCGATAAACTTCTCTGCCGTCTGAAAGAGACGGGCCACCGCGTGCTGATCTTCTCGCAAATGGTTCGCATGCTCGATGTGTTGGCCGACTACCTGCAGAAGCGTCACTGGCCCTTCCAGCGGCTCGACGGAAGCATCAAGGGTGAGATGCGGCGGCAGGCCTTGGACCATTTCAATGCCGATGGCAGCCAGGATTTCTGCTTCCTGCTCTCCACGAGAGCCGGTGGATTGGGCATTAACTTGGCCACCGCCGATACGGTGATTATCTTTGACTCCGATTGGAATCCGCAGAATGATTTGCAGGCGCAGGCGAGAGCCCATCGCATTGGGCAGAAGAACCAGGTCAATATCTATCGCCTGGTCACCGCGAGATCTGTGGAGGAGCAGATTGTGGAGCGGGCCAAGCAGAAGATGGTGCTGGACCACCTGGTCATCCAGCGGATGGACACCACGGGACGCACGGTGCTCGACAAAAGCGGGAACGGGCACTCGTCCAACTCGAATCCGTTCAACAAGGACGATCTGTCTGCTATCCTGAAGTTCGGAGCCGAAGAGTTGTTCAAGGACGAACAGGAGCATGACGACGACCTGGTTTGCGACATTGATGAGATTCTGCGCAGGGCGGAGACTCGCAACGAGGACCCCGAAATGCCGGCAGACGATTTGCTGTCAGCCTTCAAGGTGGCCAGCATAGCGGCCTTCGAGGAGGAGCCAAGTGATACGGTCAATAAGCATGACCATGAAGCCGCCGGCGAGGAGGACGACAGCAAGGATTGGGACGACATCATTCCGGAGGGCTTCCGCAAGGCCATCGACGATCAGGTGCGGGCCAAGGAGATGGAGGATCTGTACCTGCCGCCGCGGAGAAAGACGGCTACCGCCAGCCAGAACGAAGGAAAGCGGGGAGCTGGAAAGGGAGCGAAAGCGAAGCAGCAGGCAGACGACTCCGGCGGCGATTCGGACTACGAACTGGGCTCCGAGGGCAGCGGTGACGATGGGCGGCCACGCAAGCGCGGAAGACCCACGATGAAGGAGAAGATAACCGGGTTTACGGATGCCGAACTGCGTCGCTTCATTCGCAGCTACAAGAAGTTCCCTGCTCCCCTTCACCGCTTAGAAGCCATCGCCTGCGACGCCGAGCTGCAGGAGAAGCCGCTGGCGGAACTGAAGCGCCTCGGCGAGATGCTGCACGACCGCTGCGTTCAGTTCCTGCACGAGCACGAGCACCAGGAGGAAGAGCACAAGACTGCGACGGCCGACGAGACGCCGGGCGCCGCCAAGCAGCGACGCGCACGCGCCACCTTCTCCGTGAAGCTGGGCGGCGTCTCCTTCAATGCCAAAAAGCTGCTGGCCTGCGAGCAGGAGCTGCAGCCGCTCAGCGAGATCATGCCCAGCCTGGCCGAGGAGCGGCAGCAGTGGAGCTTCAATATCAAGACGCGTGCCCCGGTCTTTGACGTCGACTGGGGCAACGAGGAGGACACCAAGCTGCTGTGCGGCATTTACCAGTACGGCATTGGTTCCTGGGAGCAAATGAAGCTCGATCCCACGCTCAAACTCACCGACAAGATTCTGCTGAACGACACGCGCAAGCCGCAGGCCAAACAGCTGCAAACGCGTGCCGAGTACCTGCTCAAGATCATCAAGAAGAACGTGGAGCTGACGAAGGGTGGCCAGCGAAGGCAGCGGCGTCCCCGGGCATCGCGGGCAAACGAGGCCAAGGCGGCCAGTCAGTCGGGTAGTTCGAATTTGGAGAGCAAGTCGCATGAGGCCGAAGAAGCTGGAGGAGCTTCCATTGCCGAAAGCAGTAATAGTCAAGTGGATCCCTCCACCGCACAATCGCCACACAATGCCTCCACCGCTGATCACTCGAGTAGTACGGCAAAGAAAACCAAAAAGTCCAAGGCCAGGTCGAAAAAGACCAGCGCCTCGGACAACAACGGCAACAAACCCATGCACTTTACGGCCAACAACGAGCCGCGGGCCTTGGAGGTGCTCGGCGACCTGGATCCCAGCATATTCAACGAGTGCAAGGAGAAGATGCGGCCGGTGAAGAAGGCCTTAAAGGCTCTCGATCAACCCGATGCCAGTCTCTCCGACCAGGATCAGGTGCAGCACACCAGGGATTGCCTGCTTCAGATCGGCAAGCAGATCGATGTCTGTCTCAATCCGTATGGTGAACCAGAGAAGAAGGAGTGGCGCAGCAACCTCTGGTACTTTGTCTCCAAGTTCACCGAGCTGGACGCCAAGCGCCTGTTTAAAATCTACAAGCACGCACTCAAACAGAAGACGGGCGAAGGTGGCGAAGGAAAGGGAAAGGATGCCTCAGGAAGTCCTACTAAATCCAAGCGCAATGGCCTGGCGGCGGAGGAAAAGGACAAGGAGCGCGATAAGAGTGGCGGCAAGAAAAAGAAGAAGGACAAGGAAAAGGAGTCGCGTGGCACACCCTCCTCCAATCGCTTCGCCAACGACTCGCCACTCAAGCGGAAAAGGGATGAGAATGATGCCGAGGGCAGCGGTGGAATTGCTGGCACGCCGGGCGGCGGAATCGGCGATCATCTCAAGTCCATGTCCTTCAAGCGGCTCAACATGGACCGCCACGAGGAGCGCAAGAAGCATCATCGCGGCGCCGACTACTACGGAGGCAGTGGCCCACCGATGGGCAGTGGAGGAGGCTATGAAGGCGGTGCCCGCCGGCAGGGACCCACCTCTCCCTCCACGCCAAACAGTCGTGGCGGTCGAGGAGGCTACGAACCACCGCCAGCTCCTTCCGGCTACACACCGGAAATGGAGCGGTGGCATTCCCGCGAAAGGTAAAGTGCTTCCTCAATTCTCATACCAGGATTCCTAATATATACTTTCCCATTACAGATACAGCCAGGAATACAAGAGAGATCGCTACGACGGCTATCCGCGCAGTGGAGGAGCTCAGGGCAGCTATCATCGCGAACGCGAACGACGTCCCGACAAGCGCAGGTAATTAATAGTTATACCCGTTACTCGTAGAGTAAAAGGGAATATTTTATTCGTGCAAAAGAATGTAACAGGGAGAAGGAAGTGTTCCCGACCCTATAAAGTACATATATTCTTGATCAGGATCACTAGCCGTGTCCGTCTGTTCGTCCGTATGAACGCTGAGATCTCGGAAACTACAAAAGCTAGAAGATTGAGATTTCCCACACATATTTTTGGGCCTTTTACACAGCACAAGTTTATTTCATCCGAGCGCCACGCCCACAATCGCCCACTAACGATTTTAAAATGTGTCTGGCGTCCACACCTTTAAAGATTTCCGAGAAGTATAAATGCCAATTTGTTGTGTATATTTATACCTTTCAAAATGTAGAAGACATTTTTCAAATCGGACCATTCATTAAAAAGTTATGCGCAATCGAAAAAATCTTATATATATACATCTCCCTCGCACTTCCTTTAGCCGAGTGACGGGTATTAGATAGTCGGCACACCAATTTGGATTTTGAGCTTAATTTGTGCTTTTTCAAGGTTTCGAATTAGATACATTTTTATTTATTATTATAAATATTATTATTTACATCTCTTTTATTATAATTAACTAATTAAACAAATGGTCCATCATTTTAGATATCCATCTGGCGTGCCGCCGCATGGTTACTCAAGCCACTACCTGCCGCCCAACTACTATGGAATGCCGAATGGAGTCGTTCCCGGTCTGCCGCCACCGCCGTCCGGGTACCGCGATCCCCGCGGCTATCCGGTGATGCCGCGCGACTATCCTGCCGACTACAGACGCAGCGACTACGAGCGGCGCACGCAGACCTGAGGAGTTGACTCTCGAACCCGACTGTCTATTGTACATAGAACGCCTAGACTTAAGAGTGGCTGTCCAGCCAATCGACACAAGAAACCCAAACCACAACCTGCATACAATACGTTAAGCGTAGTAATACCTAGCAGCTAACTATACTTCTACCTATAATTTCACATCCGATCGCACAGAGGGCAAGCACCGCACCATTATCATCATCCAGGGTTCAGCGGCAATACCTGCATACCTAATCTTAGACTTTCTGTGTATAAATCATAGGCTTTAACTCGTTCATCATTGCGAAACATTATTTTTATACTACTCAACTGTACAGAAGGTGCAGCGGGTCATGAATATTTGTGCTGTGTGAGGTATGTGGCCCATGGATGCAAGCAAGTCGTTTAAAAGCTTTTAAACCAACAACAAATTCTCACTATATTTAAACACCAAGATATGTTTGTAAACACAAAAACGAAAGCAATGGGGGCCGTTGAAGAATCGTATCAAGGTTATGAAATATAGCAGCAGACTAATCATTTGTTTAATGTCTATATTGCATTCGAACTTTTATATACCGTTTAAAAATAAAGAATCAGCGAATGATCCAGAGAATTGTAATTTAGTTAAAATTAAAGATAATAATATTAATGATATATTAATATATAAAGTACGTTGTAGTGTCTGAGAAATCTATTAAATATATATCAATAAATTATAAAATATTTAAATTTAAATGGAGGTGTTTTGTTATTTGGGAATTAAAAAAGGAATTTTTAATTTTACTGATAATATTTCATGATAGCGAAAGTTCCCACGAGTTCCATAATTCCCACGTTCCATTTTTGAGTCTTACCCAATGACGCTATCTTGACCCGACGCACATGCTCAGCTGTTCCATCATTTAACCACCAAAATCATGGACAACGAACACGGATCTGAGTTGGGCACCCAGGAGTACTGGGAGTCCAGCTACAATCGTGAGATTCGAAACTACAAGAACCACGGGGATGTGGGCGAGATCTGGTTCGACGAGGACTCCCAAACCCGGGTGATTGACTGGCTGCTGAAGCAGGAGGAGATCGGAAAACAGTCGCGAGTACTGGATTTGGGCTGCGGCAATGGCATGTTCCTGGTGGCTCTGGCCAATGAAGGATTCGACCAGCTGACCGGCGTGGACTACTCCCCCAAAGCCGTCGAGTTGGCCCAGAATATTGCGGCGGACAACAGGCTAAGCATCAGCTACCAGGTGGCGGATCTAACCCAGCAGCAGGATGCTCTTGGTCAGTTCGATGTGGTCCACGACAAGGGAACCTATGATGCTGTTAGCCTTTGTCCAGAAAATCCCAAGGAGAAGCGTGCTCTTTACCTGGACACGGTGGAGAAGTTGCTGCGAACTGCAGACAGTCTGTTTGTCATCACTTCCTGCAACTGGACGGAGGAGGAGCTGGAGACGAGCTTCGCCGGGAAGTTTGCCAAGCACCACACCATTCCCACGCCGACATTCAAGTTTGGTGGTAAAGTGGGCAACGTGGTTACCTCCGTTGTATTTAAGAAAGTTAAATAAAGAATATTGGAGAATTTGTACTGCGCTATGGAACATATCTTTCTATTTAGGGATTGCTTTAAAATCAATTTTGTATAATTATTAAAAATGCTTTGTATTTAAGAAGGTTAAATAAAGAATATTGGAGAATTTTTACGTCCTGCGTGAATCATTCAATTTTTGTTTTATTATAGTGAACCATGAAATTTCTCATTTGTTTAATTCAATTCTATGTGAAATAAATTGAATGTTTTTCTTATTAATTTCGAATTGAATGAATGATTAATTTTTATAAATTTTTAAGAATTTGCCAGATTTTTTTGTGCTTTCTTTTGAGAACAAAAAGGGGAAAATTTTTAACAAATCAATGTTAACTGAATAGTAAATAAAATTCAGGCAGATTTAATAACAAAACAAGAGAGAACGCTATAATCGAGTGCCTCGACTATTAGATACCCGTTACTCAGCTAAACAACTTAATAGAAATATGCCTCCTTTTTTGTTTTTCGAAGCTGGAATTAGCTCCCGTTTTTTACCCAGGGAACTCCACGTGGAGGCCTTCTAAAACTTTCAATTCTGCCTAGCACATCTTCCGTCTCTCTCTAGCGCAGGTGAATGCACTTGTGAAAAACGAATACGAGCAAAAAGAGACAAAATGCGCGCCCTTTTCAAATAATTTAAAATTTGCAATAACATATTGTGAATTAGTGTGACCACAGAAAAAAAGGACAAAAAGTTCAAATTAACCATCTGAATAGATGGCGCTATTGTATATTGAATTGAGCCATCTACCCCAAGATATTGGTACTACTGGCCATGAAAGGCGGAAATGTAGGCGCTAGACAGGTTTAAGCGTTAAATGGGTTTTGCGGGCGTTAGAGTGGGCGTGGCAAACTTTTACTTGGCCAATCGATATGTATTGACGAAACAAATACATATCAGTTACTATTTTCATAATAGCTTCAAAACTGTGGGCGTGGCACCTTTTTGAAATAAACTTGCGCTGCGTTGGAACTCCTTGAATCTGTATGCAAAATGACAATCTTCTAGCTGTAATAGTTTCCGAGATCTCAGCGTTCATACAGACGGACAGACAGACGGACAGACGGACATGGCTAGATCGACTCGGCTAGTGATCCTGATCAAGAATATATATACTTTATGGGGTCGGAAACGCTTCCTTCTACCTGTTACATACTTTTGCACGAATACAATATACCCTTTTACTCTACGAGTAACGGGTATAATTATGGCCATTTCTTCTTCTAAAGAAATTGTCGCTTGAATTATTTCGAAATTCAATTCTATTAAATTCAAAATTCAATTTTATTAAACTCAAAATTCTAATTAATTCATTTATATAAAACAAACAATTCAAAATAAATCATTGAATCCATTCATGCAAATTTTGTACGTTAATATGGAACCGATGTTTCTTTTTATAGATTGCTTTAAAATAATTTTATTTAAAAGTTAATTTTGTATAATTATTAGAAATCTAAATATTTATAAAAAATATAAAATGCATCACATAGTAAAATTAAGGTCATGCAAAAGGTATAGTTTAAATTGCGCGCTTTCTTCTCGGGACAGGAGAGCCAAGTGGAGCTACTTGGTGGAATGGAATGGCCTGCTCCTCCGCAAAGGCCAGGAAGTCCATGCCGTAGTGCTGGATGAGTTTCGTGAGCATGGCGACATCGGCCTCTGCCTGGTGGGCATTACTAGCTGGTCGCTGGAACTTACTAGTGTAAAGACTTCCCAGTTGGTAAACTCCTTTGGGCGGAAAGCGCTTGTTCTCGGCACACATCAAACCGCTGAATAGCTGGCGTCGTGATCGGAACTCTTGGGGTTTCCGCTTGGCAGGAGCCTGATCCTCCTGGTCATCCTCCTCCTCATTATTGCTTAGTTTCTTGCGCTTTAGAGAAGCTTCATCAGGCGTCAGAATGGGACGTTTTGGAGTCGTTTCGTTCCTAGCTCGCCAGTCAATCTCTTTTGCAGGTTCTGGCTCCTTGAAGTCAGATTCAGTTTCTTTAATGGTTTCCGGTTCCGAAATAGTTGCTTCTTTTTTGAGCTTGTCGTCGATCTCCAGGAATGCACGTAGTGAATCCACACAAGTCATGGACTGGGGAAGCTCCATGTTGAGTTTTTCAAAGGCCTGCCTCAAAATGGGAAAATCGAATCCCCAGCCATTGTGAGCCACCAGGCAAACCGGCGATGGCAGGTGTTTCAGGAAGCTGATGATGAGTTGGGCGGCATCCTCGTCCAGCTTGGACTCCCGCTCCAGGAGGTAGTTGCTCAGACCTGAAACGTGATGAAATTAATGAGTGAATCACTGCTCTTTTTTGGGATTCCCTTTGGCAAACCTGTGGTTCTCTCAGCCTCCGGATGCACCATCATGGACGGTTGGAAAAGCAGGTTCAACTTGTGCAGTACACGCGGTGCCGCTGGCACCTCCGGCTCCTGATCCTTCTCCTGGTCCTGCCCTCCATCCTGGGCCACCTTTTTCTTGAGAAGAGCTGCTTCAAAGGCGTAGATGCACAGCTCCGTGATGCCCACCCGATTATTGCTGTAGGCAGGCAGGTTGGTCGTCTCCAGGTCCAGCACGGCAAAAGTGGAGATCTTCGCCTGATCTTCCGCCAGATCCACAAGCACTTCTATTGGAGCCATCTGGAATTCCACTGGAATCCAGGACTCCGTTTTATTTGAAGTGCGATTGCAATAAGAATGTTTGAACATTTACCAACACTAAAAGTTGCCCTTCTCAAGAATAGAGATGGCACCGTGACACAATCGTTGTTAAAAGTATTCCGTGACATAAAAAATATATGTCGCATTACGGAAGTAACTTAATTATTAAAAAAATATATATATATCTGTTTAATAATATTTTTCCTTGCCAGTTACTGCTTAAAAATATTAAAATCACTGAATAAGTTAAAAAACACATCCAAATTTGATTTCACATTGAATTAAATACGACTTTTTACTGAGAAGATAAAACACTAAATTTCGAATATTCAACAGGCTATAAACTTTGTGAGTTACAAACAAAATCTTAAATACTATAAATTAATTACTATTAAAATCCGTACTTATTTAAGAAATCATAAAAAATAGTAAGGAGTAGGCGTATTTTTAAACACTTTGATTTGTAATATAAAAATATATGTTTAGTTTTAATTGTCCTTGCCAGTTACTGTTAAAAACTATTAAACTATTAAATTTGATTTCATATGTATGTAATGTTACCATAGAGCTAACGACGGTAATTTTCGATTATTCAAAAGCCTTAATATTTTGTGATAGTTAAATTGATTTTAAACTACATTTTTATTTGTTTAGATATTCCTAAAAAAAAGTCAACTTAGAGGTGTTTAACAAAACCATAAAAAACTTAAGTAGTAGGCCTATTTTTAAACATTTTGATTTGAAATGACAGTTCGTGTCACGCGTCGCAGGCCAGGACTTGCTGTCAGTCTCTAGCAGAAAAAGGTACATTTTACCCCCACTTTTTCCAGGCGAACGTCGGCGAGTGAATTCAGCTTTTTGTGTGAGTATAATTTTAAGCCGGAAATGGAGCCCAGCTACAGGCAGAAGCGGGAGTGGCTTAACAGCCGCGGCGGTACGGGCAATGGTGCCGGCCACTATGGAGGCAGTCGTGAGATTGGCGGCTACTCCGGCCAGTCGGGTCAATCGCAATACCCATACCAATCTCAGTCCCATTCCCATTCCCAAATGGGTCGCAATCTGGGGGGCTGGGCACCCTGGTCGGGCCCCAACACGAACACCAACTCCTCCTTGCCTTACACCTCCTCTGACTACCAACCCCCTGCTGCCCCGCAGGCCAACACTCTGTGGAGCCGCGAGAGATCCGGATCCAGCTGGAGCAATCAAGACCAGGCGGCAACAAGCAACGTAAACCGCTCGTGGTCAGGCCCTCGTCCCTCCGCCAACGGAAACCAGTGGCAAGCGCAAGACCCGAATACAAATCAAACTCCCAAAATGATGTCCCTGCGGGCTCAGGCGGATGAAAAGGCGGTGCCGGACCACATTCGCGAGGAGCTCTTCGCTCTGAGCGGTGCCAAGCGCAAGTGGTTCTATCGCTACCTCGACATGGGCTGCGGTCACGAGGAGGCGCTCAGCAAGGCCGCCGAAAGGCTGACCAACCCCGCTGGCTTCAAGGGAGGCTCCCTGAAGTGGTACGACAAGTACATTGCCAGCGGCCTCAGCGAAAAGGAGGCTCGGGCCAAGGTGCTCGAGTACAAGCGAGCCCATCCCATCCCGGCATCGGTGGACCGCGGTCGCAAGCGTCCGGAGCACTCAGTTCCGGATGATCGCGGCCGCAAGCGTCCGATCGAGGAGAACTCTTATGGCGGAAGGGCCAAAGAGGAACCCAAGAAGCCGAGGAGGGCCGCTGCCTCGCCGCCGCCGAGATCCTCGCAGGGCTCCAAGAAGGGCTTTCCCGTGGCCCTCATGCCGGAGAACTATCCCGACTGCGTGCTGAGCAGGAAGCAGCTGGTTAGGATCGAGGCTGGGCTCGTGGACGAGATGCGCAAGGGCTGGAAGACGAGCATCAACTTCGGGGGCATCCAATTCCTGCCGGGCGTCATTATTGTCACCTGCATGGACAGGAACACGCAGAAGTGGCTGGAGCATGTGGCGCCGAAGATCACCGTGGTGCAGGGTATTAAACTGAAGACCTGCCCGGAGGATGAGATTCCGGCCACCAAGGCGATCACTGTATTTGTTCCACGCTCCTCCGAAGAGCCCGATAAGATCACAAATGATCTGTTGAAGGATCAGAACACTGACCTCTTGTCGAAAACCTGGAAGATCATGCGCACCACAAAGGTCAAGGACAACAAGGTGGTGACCATCAGCATTGGCGACAAGTCCCTGGAGATGCTCAAGAAGCGCGGCATGACGGTCAGCTACCGTTTTAGCCAGCTTTCTTGCCGCATAGCCAGCGACAAGGCCGCTTTGAAGTCGGTTCGCGTTAACTACGCGGAGCCCCGGCCACCAAAGCCTGCGGAGGATGAGGGTGAGGCTGCTGACGAGTCAGCTGAGATCGACCTCACCGAGGAGGATGGCGAGGAGCACATCTCCAAGCTTGACCTGGTTGTGGTCGACGAGGTTAAGGGAGATGATGACGAGGAGAACGAAGTGGTTGAAGAGGAGACGGCTGACGATGAGGTGGAGCTAATTGAGGGGGAGCACGATGATGAGGAGGAGCTTGCCGAGGGGGAACCTGATGAATCCTATGAAGTCGATGAGAATGCCGAGGAGGAGCAGCAGCAGGAGGAAGAAAATGAAATCACCGAAGAGGCAGAGAATGAAAATGCTGATGGGGAAGAACATGAGGTTGAGAATGCTGACGAGGAAGAGATTGAGGGCGAGACCACCGTCATAGATTAAGCAGCTTCTCGTAAGTATGCTTCATAGAAGGAAAGCTAGGCGATCTTAAGGTAAGATAGGATTTCTTTTTACTTTTAAAAACGCTATTAACCTATTTCTCCTTTTTCCCTAGATACATTTGATGCCCAGCCACATTTAAAACTTAAACACCCTAGACATACCCTTAATCATACGATTTTACCAGCAAGAAGCTTTTAGGACAAACTTATAAGATCTGTAGCAGGACATACAGCATTCTTCGACATCCTATTATAACATTTATACATTCGACACAATTCTGTATTATGATTTTCATTAAATATTTGGTTATGGACTAAGAAATTTGCCAAAATATCTGTATCTTTTCTTTGTATTAGACTGTAATTTACATCCTATTATAACATTCATACATTGTATTATGATTTTCATTAAATATTTGGTTACGGACTAAAACCTTTGCCAAAATATCTGTGTCATTTCTTTCCTTAAATGGAAAAAACTCAAAACTACGGTCATAAATACAACTTCTAGACATTCTCTCTTGTTTTATTAGCAACAAACGAAATACAAACGCTTAATTATGTTAAAAACGCGACAGCATTAACATAGATGCGACTCTTACAAACAATGTGCTTATTAATACTTGAGGATTTCGAATCCCGACGTCTATCGTGATTTGACATTTTAAAATACATTCGAGAAAATGCATGGCACGCTTAGTTGATGACATGAGTAAGCTATGAAGCGCTAGTGGCAGACCGTCCGTCCTCCGATTTGGCGTCTCCTGCTGCAGCTCCCCGCTTCACGGAGAACTGCATGTAATCCTCGCGTGTGGCGGCCGCATACTCCTGCACCAGGCAGTCAACCGTTTCGCGCGATTCGTCCAGCTCCGAGAGGTCGTCCTTGAAGATGTCCTCGCGCTTGAATTGATCGAGAAAGGCGCCCCGCTTGCGCAGCTTGTCGTACTGATTGAGTGTCCGCTCGAACAGCGAGCAGATGCTGGTGTGGTTGGCCAGCATCAGGCCGGAAACGCGATGGTTGCTCTGCACGTAGGGCGAGGAGCGGGACAAGGCCACCTGGATGGAGGTGGGGCCCCAGGGAATAAACTGGGCCATCTTGCGGTCGCGGATGCGCTGCAGCGACTTGTGCACCTGCGTGGGATCCACCTCGCCCTGGATGATGTTCAGAATGGATATGTAGCAGTGGTGGTTGGACTTGTCCGGCCCCGTGGACACCATCATGTTCTTGGGCTGCAGCAGGCGACGCATCACATCCAGCACGGTGGTCTTGCGCACATTGACCGTCTGCTGCGAATTGACATCCGAATCGCTGGACAGCGGCGTGTACCCAGTCATCAGGAAGTGCAGCTGGGGCGTGGGAATGAGTGGAGCCATTAGGCCAATCAGATTGTTGTTCATGTACGAGGGATACCGCAGCGTGGTGGTGCTCACGCTCATGATGGTGGAGACCAAATTGTTGATCTGCGAGAAGCTCGGATTCTGGATGTGCAGGCGATCGCAGGCAATGCGATTGAGCGCCGTGTTGTCCAGCACAACTACGCTGTCCGCAGCGGTGGTTAGACGCTTGAGCGTTAGCATGGAGTTGTAGGGCTGCACCACAACATCGCTGATCTCGTCCTGGTTGGGGAAGACACTGAATGTCTGGATGAGCTTCTTGGGATAGCGATCCGCCAGGCGCTCCATGATGAACGAGCCCATTCCCGAGCCCGTGCCGCCGGCAATCGAGTGGCAGAGTATGAAGCCCTCCAGGGAATCGCTGCCATCGGCCTCGCGGTCAATGATGTCGAACACCTCCTCCTGCAGCTTGTCGCCCTGGCTGTAGCCAGAGGCCCAGTTGTTTCCAGCGCCTCCTCCATGCTTGGATAGGTAAACATTCTCCGGATTGTAGAGCTGCAAGGGGGAAGACAAGTGCTGTTAGAACCTGGGAACCAAGGGTGCTATTACCTACCTTGGAGTATGCAGAACCCATAATGGTATTGATCACCCTGGGTTCCAAGTCCAGGAGCACTGCGCGCGGTATGTAGTGGTCGTCGTCCGCCTGGTAGAAGAACACATCCTTGCGGTCCATGCCATCGTTGGCAAAGTCCTCCAGCACGCCGCTGGGCGAGATGCCATGCTCCAGGCACAATCTCTTCCAGAACTCAAAGCCAACTGGGATTTTTTAAGGGGATTTTAGATATGCAAACCAGGCTCGTCCTTTTTTCGTAAACCTACTCTGATTGCCGCACTGCCCCAGCTGCAGGGTAATTATTTCACTTGGCATTGTGCAGCGTTGTTGTCCGCCGGGATCGTCAGGTAATGCTTAGTGTTTAATGTGATTGTACTCGAAATAAAACAAAAACAAACCAAAAAACCATCGAATTGTGGGAAAAAAATTTAAAAATTGCCACAGCGGGGATGTATTTTTTACAATTGCTTCGGGCCAGTGTTAAAAACGCCGCAATGATGCATGCTTAAAGTGGAAGGTGGCGCATGACGTCAGCGGGGGTATAAATTAAAATCGATGTGTGTCGTGCATTATGAAATATAAGCCAATTGAAAGTAAAACAAAATAAATGAAAAAATTATAGCCAATTATTTAAGTACAAATTTGTTTTTTTGTTTTTTGTATTATTTATTTATTTATTTTTATTCTGGTTTTGAAGCAATTACAAATGTCATTTAATCAATTTTTTTAGCTTTAGCTTTTAGGCCTTAAGCTAGGGTTTTTGTGTTTATTAAAAAGATTTTTTAAAGATTATTATTGATTCTATTAAGATCCTTTGATTAAAACCCACTTAAGGGATACAATTTTGTTAAATAAGTGGTTCGATAGCAAACCCGAAAAAATAAAAAACTTCAAATCAGTACTTGGTATTTATTTTGTTTTTATTAAAAACTTTTTAACATTTAAGTCACCTTACTTTGCCTTGTGACATCACAAATTTCAAAATTGCGCTCTACAACTGTGCTGTTCCAGAGATGGCACATTTTTAGTGTTGCACAGCGCGCAAACGACCGGCTTGAAGAAATCGCGTTGCCCGCGCAGTTTTCTTTTTGTTGATATCGGGTGCAGACCAAGCTGAGCAAAAAAAAAAACGCCGGAAGATCTGTGAAAATAAATAAAACTTTTATTCAACAAACTAGTTATTTGAACAGCACAACTGCACAATGCCCCGAGCCAAGGCCGCGAAGAAACCAGCAGAGGCGGTGGCAACTGAACCCCAACCCACCGACCCCACTCCAAATGGCAATGGAAGTGTCGCCGACGAAAATCCAGCCCCTTCCGCCGAAGAAGCCAAAGTTCCGGCGAAGGGAAAGCCCCGCGCGAGAAAAGCCACCAAGGCGACCGTAGCTGCGGAAAATCCAGAGGAAGTAGAGGCGGAAAATGCGCCCACGGCAGCTGCACGTGGCAAGAAGAAGCAGCAGCCGAAGGATACAGAAGAAAACGGCGAAGCGGAGGCGGTGGCCAAGCCAAGGGGACGCGCCAAGAAGGCGGCGACTGCAGAGGCGGAGGCCAAGCCACCAGCTGCTGGCAAGGCGTCCAAGCCGCGGGCCAAAAAGGAGCCCACTCCTGCTCCCGCTCCCGAGGAGGAGAAACCAACGGCTGTCCCGGAGCCAAAGGGCAGGGGACGCAAGCGGAAGGAGACGCCGGCGGAGGCCAATGGAGGGGCAGAGGAGGCGGCAGAGCCACCAAAGCGAAGGGCCAAAAAGGAGGTCGTACCAGAAGGAGAAGCAGCTCCCAAGGAGAAGGCGGCCAAAGCTGAAACCGCTGTAAAGAAGGCACGCGGAACCAAGCGCCTGGCGGACTCGGAGATTACAGCTGCCCTAGAGGAGGAGGCAGAAGCGGATGAGGTGGAGCCTCCCAAGGCTGCAAGCAAGCGAACCAAGAAGGGAAAGGCGGTTGAACCCGAGACTATAGGAGATTCCGAGGAGGTAAAAGGAAAGGAAGAACCCGCACCAAAGGCAGCAGCCAAAAAACGAACCAAAAAAGCCAAGGAAGACGAAGGAGCGGAGGAAAATGAACCGAAAGCCGAGGCAAAGCCCACCAAGCAGCGCGGCAAGAAGGAGGCCAAGGAGGAGCAGCCGGCGCCAGCAAAGAAGCGCGGACAGAAGACAGAAGCCGCCGATAAGGAAAACGGCGTGGAAGCAGTACAAGAACCCCCAACTGAAAGCAAGCTACCTGGTAAGCAACATTAATCTTTAAATAATTATAAAAATTAAAAATCCTTTCCATTTTCCAGCTCGAGGTCGTAAAAAGGCAGCAGCTAAGCCGGAAGCAGCCGAAGATCTTGTGGAAACAGCAGCTGAAAGTAAACCAGGTGGGAAAAATGCTACAAATAACCATTATGACAATGCCATAACAATTCAACATCTTTCCCCAGTTCGAGGGCGAAAAAAGGCGGCTGCCAAGGCTGAAGATCCCGAGAATGAAGATGATGAGGAGGTTGGATCGAAAAGTATGTTGGCGGAACAATCCGGCTGCGGTGGAGCTGCCGTATTAAAAAGCTTGCAAAACGTGCTTAACTTCTGTTTTCCAGCCACCAAGAAATCCAAGAAGGCCGAGGTCAAACCCAGTGTAGCATTGGATAAAGAGGCGTTCGCCCTGCCAGCCGATAAAGTATTCAATTTGAAAATCTCCAGCTGGAATGTGGCCGGTCTGAGGGCCTGGCTAAAGAAGGATGGTCTGCAGTTGGTTGACCTCGAGGAACCCGATATTTTCTGCCTGCAGGTAAGAGCTACAGTCGCCTAAGACTAAAGTAAAAGCTAAACCGAATTTAATTTAAAGGAAACCAAGTGCGTAAACGATCAGCTGCCGGAGGAAGTGACCCGTCTGCCGGGCTACCATCCCTACTGGCTGTGCATGCCGGGTGGCTATGCCGGCGTCGCCATATACAGCAAGATCATGCCAATAAATGTGGAATACGGCATTGGCAACGAGGAGTTCGACGATGTAGGACGCATGATAACGGCGGAGTACGAAAAGTTCTACTTAATCAACGTGTACGTGCCGAATTCGGGTCGAAAGTTGGTCAACTTGGAACCCCGCATGCGCTGGGAGAAGCTCTTCCAGGAGTACGTGCAGAAACTGGACGCTCTGAAGCCGGTGGTCATCTGTGGCGACATGAACGTTTCCCATAATCCCATTGATTTGGAAAATCCGAAGAGCAACACCAAGAATGCCGGCTTCACGCAGGAGGAGCGAGACAAAATGACTGAGCTGCTGGGCCTCGGTTTTGTGGACACCTTCAGGCATCTGTATCCCGACCGGAAGGGAGCCTACACCTTCTGGACTTACATGGCCAATGCGCGAGCACGCAATGTGGGCTGGCGTCTGGATTATTGCCTCGTGTCGGAGCGATTTCTACCAAAGGTGGTGGAGCACGAAATACGCTCCCAATGCCTTGGAAGCGACCACTGTCCGATCACCATATTCTTCAATATCTAGTTATATTCTTTGTTTGTTTTTTATGTACTTTTTCAATCGTCACAATTATTCTGTTTCCATTTAATATTTGGTTTTCTTTGTATTTATTTATCCATTGCTGTACAATGCGTACGCACCTACTTAATTTGTTAAAATCATCATTACACTGTTTAGTTGTAGATCGACCATACGAATTGGAATTTTTGAATAAAGTAAGCTACTCCGATTTGGATTTTACTGTGTTGAAAATCTTAAATTCAAAGTGGATTTCAAATTCGCAACGGTAATATATCGATAAATGTAAACGCAATATTTTGCCCTGCCAACTTGATTGAAATCACTGTTGCGCCTATCGAAGCAATCGAGGAAAACAATCATTTTTTTCCCGCCCAATTTCGAGCATTCTTTAGTTTTTGCCAACAATTATAAATTCGCAAAATGGTTGTGACGCCAGGAAAAGAACTGGTTGCTGCCCAGGAGAAGGTGGACAAGGAGGAGCGACCGGAGCAGCAGGCGGCGCCGCCGGTCAACCGGGATGAGGAGCAGTACCTGAATCTTCTGAGGAACATCATCGCGAATGGCGAGCGGCGCACGGATCGCACGGAGGTGGGCACGCTGTCCCTGTTCGGCAGCCAGATGCGCTTCAACATGCGCGAATCCTTCCCCCTGCTGACCACCAAGCGCGTCTTCTTCCGCGCGGTGGCCGAGGAGCTGCTCTGGTTTGTGGCTGGCCAGACGGACGCCAAGCTGCTGCAGGCCAAGAACGTTCATATCTGGGATGGGAACAGCACCCGGGAGTTCCTGGACAAGCTGGGCCACACGGAGCGCGCCGTGGGCGACCTCGGCCCGGTATATGGCTTCCAGTGGCGTCATTTTGGGGCGGAGTACGGCACCTGCGACGACGATTACAGTGGCAAGGGCATCGACCAGCTGCGTCAGGTGATCGAGACTATCAAGAATAATCCCTCGGACAGGCGCATCATTATGTCCGCATGGAATCCGCTGGACATACCCAAGATGGCCCTGCCGCCGTGCCACTGCCTGGCCCAGTTCTACGTCTCGCAGACGCGCGGTGAGCTCTCCTGCCAGCTGTACCAGCGGAGCGCCGACATGGGACTGGGCGTGCCCTTCAACATCGCCTCCTACGCCCTGCTCACCCACATGATCGCCCATGTGACGGGTCTAAAGCCAGGAGACTTTGTACACACCATGGGCGACACGCATGTCTACCTAAATCATGTGGAGCCGCTGCGCGAGCAGCTGGAGCGTAAGCCGCGTCCCTTCCCCAAGCTGGTGATCAAGCGGCAGGTGCAGGACATCGAGGATTTCCGCTTCGAGGACTTCGAGATAGTCGGCTACAATCCATACCCCAAGATCAAGATGGAAATGGCCGTGTAAGGGGCCTAATTTGTTCAATCTATCCAAATTATTCTTATCTCAAATACAGTAGCTCAACGCGACGAGCAAGTGATCCCATTGTAAATGTCACAACAACAATTTTTTAATTATAAAATGTTAACAAAAACTTTATAACACGATTTTAAGTAAATATTTTCTATTTAACATTTCTTTGTTGGTCTGGCAATGCCAACACTTTACTTTTCCTTCCATCTGGTAGCACGGTTATAAAAGCTGTTAAATTTGAAAGCTTGATATTTTTTATATGATATACTTTTGATTAAAATTATAATCCCCATCAAATCCCCATACACCGCCACAAAAAGTAAACATTTTTTTAAACACATCATTTCATAGCTTTATTTGAATAAATTGTTGCTTTCATTCATCGTGTGTAGTGTGTGTTTGTCGTTTGTAAATTCTCAGAGTAATCCATAATGAAGTATAATTGATTCTTAATAAATCTTGCACAGAGTATACCGTAAATATGCTATATAAATTTGCTTGACATTTTTCGCACTTAATATTGTGATTTTGCTTTGTTTCGGTTTCTTGGTATTTTTGTCTTTTAAGTAATTTAATGCAAATTTGAAGAAAAACGTTAAGGTTTTGTGTGTCCATATGAGAGAACTCGACAGTAATTCAATATACAATTTATGCACTTTAATTAAATTGGAATAATTGTTTTCAGTTTTGTTCTGTGATGATTAAAGATAAATACATATTTGCTACTACAATACGATACTGTCCACCAATATTTTGACTATGTTTTTTTTATAACGACGAGAAAAAAACTTGCATAGTTCTTCGTATATAATATGTGGCATAATGTTTTATGCAAGCTAACCGATAGACAAATAGAAATTAGTTTGAATTATTATAATTGTTATGTGGAATTCAATATGTTCATTAACTTATGTTGAGCTTGAAAGAGCGAATGCCACTAGAGTTTCTGAGTTCAGTTAAGATTCAATATTTTTGTTACCATTTTGGCTAAAGTGATTCCTTCATCCGTTGCCTTTGACTTGCGTTTAACAATAGTGCTTAAAATTAGTACCTTTGACTAAGTTCGTTTCGACTAAGATTTGGTTTTAATTAATTTATAATATATTTTAAGTGTTACCATTTCTTACTTGAACATTTAAACATATATAAAGAGCGTATTTCCGTCCGCAACTTACTGATGACTTGCACTACAAAATGTTATTTGTTGTTTCCTTGTAATATGATCGTTAGCCGGGTCTTGTTATAGGATGCTACAGCTGAATCAAAGATCTGGGCCAGGATGGTATTGTCAAACTGGTAAAATCAGGGGAAAATGTGAGAGCAGCGATTTCCTGCTAGGATATCGCTCTTTTGACCACCGGGGAAATTCAACAGATTTTGGGGCGCCAGTTCTTTGTGTATAGTAGCTACACCTAAAAGCCATCAATTACACTTCTCAGATAGATTTTCAATGCATTTTCACACGAGTGGTTCGTAGTATTTCTTGGTTTCTTTGCTATTCAACATTCATTTAAGTGAGACTAGGGGCTAGGAGACTGTGTCTGTGTGGGGGTGTGTGTGTGATCTGTGTGAGAGAAACAGACATTATAGGCAGATTGTAAACGATGCAGCGGTACAGTCGCTGCACCGTTTACAGCCGGCCTACAGAGGGCGCGCTGCAGACTTCCGGTTCCGGTTGCGTCTGCAGGGCATTTGCACAACCTTATTGGCTTCAAAACGCGAAGGTGCCTCGAGAAACGATTTTGCACTGTGAAATCGATAGCCATTTATACATACGTCTTTGGTTTTTGCTTTTGCTTCGTTTGTTTTGGTGTAAAAGTATAAAAGTGTGTGCCGTAATTAAGCCTTTCACTTGGTAGTTAAAATTTGTGGTAACTTGTCGATTTTTTGTGGTTCTCGATTTCGTTCCCCTGCTTGAGATCCCTCCTCAATACGAGTACTCTTCCTTTGTTTTCAAGATATGCGCTTTGTTTTCGTCTTCTTTAAATGTTAACATTATTGCGTTTTCCATGTAAAAATTATAAATTTGCTGGTTTCATAGTTCTCTTCGATTTGTTAGTCTTTTCTGCATGTAGTTCAACTTTCTCTTCTGGTATTTTCACTTTCTTACGTATGTTTCTCCTCCCTTCACGTGCCATTCCCTTTCTTCGATTTCGATTTCGTTTGTTTTTGTATATTATTGTGCGGTGTTTTTGTTCGTTACCATACCCATTAGTATTTAATATGTATATATAATATAATATATTGTATATAGTACTCATGTATATATTTAAATTTTTAAAATACTTTCTTGGTTTTCTTCCATTTGTATTTATCATTTATAAAACATTTCATCTTAAAAAATGTATATAATCGATTGCTTTTTGTTGTTTCATGCTTTTCATTCACTTATCTGCGTTCGCCTGGATACCATGTCTAAGCATGTCTATTCATGTCTGTTATCCCCTGTGCCACACATATGCACCAAAAAATGTGCCTCAATTTTTTACATCTTGTATAAAAAACATTTCATTTGGTGTTCTCTTTATATTTTTTATGTTGAGTTTTCTTGAACTTGCTTTGAGACTTTGCTGGAAGGTATTATTTCTAATTTACCGCTTAAAAGCCAGAATTTCTTTTTTATTTTCAGTCAAGCTTTTGCGCATGAGTGTGAGTAATGTGAGGGTTTGTTTTTTTTTCAAGGATTTTCTAGTAGATTTAAGAGGAGTAGGGGAGAAAAAGCCGTTGAGCTCTACAAATATTGGAGGCTTGGCGTTCCGGTTTCTCTATGCACTACACACATACATACCTATAATCGCAACCGTTGCCATAACGATATATGTAATTTATATATTTGTATATATAATTTGTTCATGGTAATTAGTTTTAAATAGTATGCAATAAATTTACTTGACGTATACATGAAAATCGATTTCCGCTCTGTTGATGCATGCCATGATTTAGTATTTCTAATAATTTCTTGGTATGTATGTATGTATAAACATTTAAAATTTGCAATACACAACATCAATATATTGTTAATCATATGTAATAGTTTTCATAAATAGTTATAGATTTTATAGAGAGATATAGCATAGTTAATGTTGAGTAACATTTCGATTTTTCCATTTTGGGGTCACGGCACGTTAAAAAAGAAAAGGAAATCTTGAAAATAGAGAACCAAAGAATACTTAGTTTCCCAGGCAATTTACTTTTTAAAATAAATATTAAAAAAAACTCTTTTTCATCATAAGGGATCCTTGCATTTTTTTAAGGAATTTTGTGAAGCACCATCATATCTATATTTTTTGTTATTTTGTCATTGCCAGGCTCTCGAAAAACTTGCACCATTCCATGAGCTTATACACGCCTTCTTATTTCCTGTCCATCTTTGTGTTTTTAAAATTTGCTATATTTAGTTTGGCAATTTGTTTAATTTGTTCGTTTCTTTGTTTTTTTTTATGTTATTGCTGTTGAGTTGGGCTTAAACAAATTCGTTAGGCTGAAACGCGTTTTGTCATCTAGGTTACATCTCGCTTTGTTTTCTTTTCGCATCTTGTCGCTTGTTTGTCTAGGGAGGGACTTTGTTCTGATCTTTGTCTTTAGTTACATTAACTTCGATTGGAGTGGCGTGCTTAGATTATTTAGCTGGCTTTTGTTTAAGCTTTACAATCGTTGATTACTTTTATTCTCTCTCTGATTCGACATGTATTACATTTCCTCTTGCTGTTTCAAATTTTCTTAAATATTTATTCGTTGTATTTGAAGAAATTCTCAAGGGTGTCCGCTCAGTTTTTTTTATCGCTCACTTGCTAACCCAGTTCTACGTTCGTCTCACTATTATGATTTTTGAGAGCCTATACTTAGTTTTATACCGAAAGATACATAGGTAATGATTAACATATGAAAGTGGCTAGACGAATTTTTAATGGGCAATCGAAAAAATGTTAATAGAGAAGAAGGGGTTTAATTGTTATATTATGCATACATCATTTATTTTTAGCAAAAGTTATACATTTAATTTATAAAACATAAACACATGTATGTCTTATTTGTTTTGCTTTTTTATTTGGTTTTTCGCATCTAGCTTCCTTCTCGTTCTGCATTGTCTATATTTGCAAAGTGGTTTGACTATAAGCCAAACGCCTCTATCTGTTTACGCATTCAGTTCTGTTTTCGTATCTCATTTTATACATTTATTTATAGCTTAAATATTTGTCAAGTTTGTTTTCTTTCTTTGGTGGATTGGGGCTTCAATGCCTGCGAATTGTATTTTTTATTCTCTGTTTAAAAATATCCGTAGAGTATGTTTCTTCTACATCTCAAACAAAAACTTAACTACAGCTCTATCTTTTCTGTTTCCTCCTTTCTCTCTGGAAGCTATTCTCTTTGGGAGAGTCGACTAGACGTTTTAAAAGTGCATCAACGAAAAAATGTAAGTTCTACAAATTGAATCTAATCTACGATAAATAAGAGCAAATAAAAAAGAAGGGATTTCCAAACTTAGCTAACGAAAGAAGTTATGGTTACTGTTACTTCACTGAAAAACAAATTCTTAACTCAAAAAATGAACAAGTCCGGTTACTCGCGTTCTTCAAACTGAGTCCAATTAATCGTTGCCTAAAATTACATAGAATCCTTGAAATGGGCTGATGACAAACCAAAGTAAACTTTAAAAGAACCAATTAGACCAGGTTGGCATATAGCCATTGCTGTTGTTACTGTTTTTGTTGCCCGAACCGCCACCGGATGAATTGGCCGACATGCCGATGCCATTCCGCTGGCTCGTGGACGAGTTGTTGCTGGGCGGAGGAGCTGCGGCGGTGTTGGCTACATTGGTCAAGAACTGGGCGAACTCCTGCTGCAACTGCAGCTGCTGCTGCAGCAACTCGTACTGATTTTGGGGCTTATTGTATATGAATTTCGTCGATGTCTTCAGTATGTTGTTGCTCGACAACGACGAGGAGGATGCGGTGGCTCCGGCATCGCCACTGGACATTGAGTGGCTGCTGCTGCTGCTGTTGGTGGCAGTGGCGGCCATATCTCCCGATGTTGCTGCAGTGCTGCCTGCTAATCTCTTAGGTGGCGCCATTGATTGTTGCTTGTTGCTCGAGGATGCTTGCTTCTGTTTGCTCGTATTGCTGTTGTTACTGTTGTTGATGTTGTGCTGCCTGCTGTTGCTGTTGTGATTAACGTATTTGCCAAGTTGATAGCCATTGCTGTTGCTGTTACTATTATTATTGTTGTTGATGCTACCGATGTTGCTGTGGTGGTGATGATTGTGGAGGACTAGACCATTGGCCGCCAGAGCTGCCGCCGCCGCATTGGCATTGACAACAGCAGCCAACTTGGTTAATAATTACGTTTGCTTGTTCTTGTTGGTCTTGAAGCTGACCTGAAGCACTCGGTTGCCAAGTGTGTAGCCGTTGAGCGACTGAATGGCCAGAACGGCCTCCTCGTAATTTGTCATGGTGACGAAGCCGAAGCCCTTGCACTTGTTGCTCTGCAGATCACGAATCACCTGGGGGAATTGTGAAGCAAAATTTAATTAATTATGAAGAATTAATAACAGAATGATTAATATATCCTTCTACTGACAGAAACTTTGGTTCTTAGGGTATCAAAAAACTTACATTAATCGGTAGTTTTAAATTTTTCTTTGTCGGTAAATCTTGGTCTCAATAGAAGCTCACCTTGACTGACTGCACGGCGCCGAAGGGTCCAAACAGCTGCCACAGCACATTCTCCTCGGTCTCGGGCGCCAGATTGTAGACGAAAATGCACCAGCCGGAGCTGGCAATGGTGTTGCCTTGGATCATGCCATTGGTGATCAGGTCACTGGTCAACGGTGAGTAGCGCGAGATTACGGAGCTGCAAGGGAAAGGCAAAATAAAATACATTTTAAAATTAATTAAACTATATTTGTAGCCCTTCCTCACCTGTAACGGCCCGCGTTGGGATGAATGGCAGCTGCGGCGGCGGCGGCTGCCGCTCCGGCAGCAGCATTGGCCGGAAATGCTCGTCCGCCGCGGGTATTTTGGGGCGCTATGTAGGCGGCCAGGGGCTGCATGCTGTTCTTATTGCTGCTGGGATTGTTGGCGAACTTGACGGTTATCGGTTCGGTGGAATTCTTCGGAGTTGTGCCGTTTAGCTCCTTGATGGCCCGGTCGGCCTCAAATCGCTGATCGAAGCGTATAAAGCCAACGCCCTTGGAGAGACCTAAAAGCATCGAAAAGGTCAGTAAACTTGGATTTTATGCATTTTGTGCAGGCAGCATGTCCAGCGGATGGAATAATTCAGAAGCAAGGCAAATGCGCAAGATATCCTTTATACTTTTTCAGCCATGCATTTCTGATTGTTAATGAATATTAAATAAGGAATGTGAACTTTTACTGATCTTGCAAGGCTATTACAAATTAATTGCCAGAAAACTCTGGATTTAATTATAATAGCACTTGACAAAATGTATTCCTTTTCAAATGAGATAATAATTGTTATTTCATGAGCGATGAACAGCTATGAAAAATAGTTAAACATAAGAAAAATAAAAACATACCCGGAGCATGTTCATCTTATTTGGTATTACATGTAAAAATAAAATTGTAAATAATATTTGCATTAATTGTAACTCACTAATTAAAATGGAGAATATATTGTGGAGCGCCAGCAAAAATAGAAACAAAAGTGTGCTGTAGGCTAAAATTAATTCAGAATACTTTTTTAGTTTAGTTTTGGACATGCTTTCAAAAAGACTACGCAATACTTGAAAATCAAAGATCATCAAACAGATTTATCTGACTCTGTCCTTTTATTCTCATTTTTAACCATCGATATCTACCATATATTCTCGCCTCGCTCTATGATCACAACTCACCAGTGATATTATCACAAAGAATACGCGAGGTTATGATCTTGCCGTATGGACTGAACAATGATTCCAAATCCGACTGTGTCATATTTTTTGGAAGACCCGATACATAGAGATTGGCACCCTTGATGCTCTCGGAGCTGGGGCGTGCGATGGAGACCTTGATGGTTTTGTTCTGCAGCCGGAGGCCATTCAACGCGTTGATTGCCTTTTCCGCATCCTCCTGCTTAACGTAGTTGACGAATCCATAACCCAGGCTTTGGCCTGCAAGTGAATGAGAATCATAAGATAAAAATAATAAAAATAAAATACTACATTTAACGAGAGTGTCATTTCTATCACTAGGGTTTTGAAATCGATTATAAAAGTGTGCAAAAGAATGCAACAATATTTTTTGCTATTTTATCTTATACATAAATTTCAACACCCTAGAAATCCTTTGAAGAAATTTGGGTTTTACGTGATGTGAAGTACAATTAATTTGGCATTATGACCTTTCTATTTTGATTCTTACCTGTCACCTTGTCGCGAATCAACTTGCAGCTTTCCACCTCGCCAAAACTAACGAACAGCGAACGAATCTCGTCCTGCGACATCGTCTGTGGCAAGTAATTCACAATCAAATTGGTCTTTGGATCTGGTTCATTATTATTGTTGTTGTTTGCAGTGGCGTTGTTGTTATTGTTGTTGTTGTTATTATTATTGTTGTTGTTGTTCGCCGCATTGTTTGCAGAGGCTTGGCCAGCGGTCGCATTTGTTGTCGATCCGGTTCCCGCTGCCGCAGTCGTTGCCGCAGTGGTGCCTCCATTGGTTTGGGCCTGGCTGTTGGTCACATTGTTAGCCGGAGTCGGTCCTCCGCCAGATCCGGTGGTGCTTCCTACGCCGCTGGCACCGCCCGTTCCGGATGGTTGCTGCTGCTGTTGCTGCACGGCTGTTTGACCCTCGACCATGATGCGGAAGCTGCTGCTGAATGGAATTTTCTTGTTAACAACCACGTGTACTATATATGTATCTCAGGGACAAGCGACTTTACAAATGCGGTCAAACTAATAACACGAAAGTTTTTAAACAACAAAATAGGTGCTCAAAAATATGCTATTAATGTGACCGCAATTATTGATTGGAAAGCGAACAACTTTACAACTCTCTTCTTCGAAAACTTGTTCAATAGACAGAAATAGAGATGGCGAGTAAATCAAATAAGTGGCTGTAGATATAATACTGCTGTGAAGTCTGCAAATGGATAGACAGGATTAGTAAAATTTTTAAATCAAGAAGAGATATATACTAACCCTTTTCAGATGCACACTCCGAGCAATCGCAGTGGATAGCCTGATCTTAGCTCTTACTATAGCCTAGTTAAAAGCGCGACACCAACGATATCCACTACGTATAGGTTATATGGTATGCCAGAGGGTTTACTGTAATGGAAAAGTAGAACAGAAAAAAACAAAGTTATAATAAAAATCAATCATTTTAATTTAATTTAAATGAAATGCGGGTATGTAAACAGCTGTCCCCTGCAGTTCTTGGAAATGGGGGAAAAATAACACAAGAGTAAACATTTTGAATAAACCCATACAAATGTCGAGGGCTCTTTGCTTCTGTGGTCGGCAAATTTGCTGGCTGGCTTGGCAAACCGACAGACTGACTGGCTGGCGAATGCAAATAGGGCCAAAATACCCAAGTATTGACTGAAAAATCGATTCAATTAAAATTGCCTCCCCCCTACTATAAATGGGTAATTGAATTGAAGGCCTAGAGAACAGTGTTCTTGGATTGGGGCTTTTAAATTTCAGCTTAGCAAGATAAATCGAAATTTTCTGCAAGATCGACATGAAACCTTTCGATTTGTATATGGCAATCGTGTTATTGTTTATAGCTTAAAATAACAATCTGACGTATGGCTTATTTCCTTAATTTGTGGCTGTTTGCAGCGTTCGTTCAGCGTTTCTGCTTCTTGTTACCCAAACAATAAATTGGCCAAAAACAGAAAAGTATTTTTAGCCCACTTTCAAATTGGCCTTTATTGTTGTGGCACGCAATTAGTAAGTATGTAAGACTAAATACATAGCAAGGTTGGCTATTTAAGCTAAACAAATTAAATATAAGAACTAAAGTACAATCCTCAAAAATGTTCAGATTTTGATCTACTTTTTTTCAAGATTTTGTATTATAAACTATTCATAAAAAATAAACATACAACAAGTTTTTAAAATGCTTATTATTTTAATCTTTTTTTTGGCGATAAATCAAGAACCTTCGTTCAAATTTTCATCATTTGTCTGGGAAATATGTTGCATTCAGCGCCGCAAATCGTGCGAAAAAGTTATATTTTAAAAATAAACAATCAAATGGTGGGATGAGTGCGAGAGGACAAGAGAGCGGAGAATTGCGCCGCTGCGTAGCCGGCAAGATTATATATTTTCGAAAATATTTTTAAAGCAGCTGATGCGAGATGCTGACGTCTTGCGTTTGAGGTTAAGTATCTTGTTAGCCGAGAGAAGTGCCAGTGATTCAGAGGAATGCCAAAATATTGAAATATCTTTTAAAATTACATAAAAGAAGGGGGATTGGGCAAATCCTGATTACCTTTGATTTCTATACGGGAGAATCAAATAAAGATAAGTTGCTGATTTGTTGGTTTCTACGCGATTACGAAACAATTTTTCAGGGTATGTTTGGTTTTATATTTTTAATAATAACCGAACCAAACGGAAAACGAACGAGAAAGCGCTCCACAAAACACAAAATGCGAGACAAACGGAAAAGTTATACTCATACAAATAACCGAAGCAAATAATTTCTGGAATATTATTAATCAAATTGTGTTGATTGTGTGTGCCGTTTAAAAAGGAAAAACCAAGCCAAACCGAAACGTGAAACTAATTCGTAATAACAATAATAATAAGGAAATAAAACCGAACGGAAAGTAGAAAAGAACGCGTTCCTGCAACTCAACAGAACAGAAATAAACTGATTTGCCGAGCGGCGTGGAAATTATTTTTATGCCCCACCGACGAGGGCAAACTAGTGCTATATGTCCAAGAATCGGGAGAGCCCCGAGAGGAAAACCCAGAGAGAGAGGCGGCTTCTTGGCCAGAAGTTGTCGATTGCTCTTCGCCCGCTCGGGGGAAGAGAAACCCGATGGGAATGGATCAAAACTTACACGACTATATGTTTTCCTATACCGAGCATATATATCCGTAAGGTGGATGCCTGAGATGGTCGACGGCGGAGGTAATTTATAATTGGATTTTGCACAAGTATACACACTTACATTGCACAGTATTTTTATAATTGCGTTATGGGAACTTGTTAAAATTCGAATTCGATAGAGTTTCTGTTTCTGGGCGACTCTAAATGTTGCGAATGCAGTTTTTTTTTAAACACAGCTGCTAATTATGGCAAAGCTCATATGGAAAATCTGTTGTTTGATGTTCTTTTTCCATAACAGTTGTTCAAACATCTTAAAAACACAAACTGGTTTCCGGGCTGATGTTTTACTCATTTGTGTACAATTTGTTTTTCCTACTCTATGAAACAACTAAAATAACTGTAATCCTGGCTTAAAAGACTTAATTTTGACATAAAACGGCTCCAGAAGATACTCTTTCTATGTAATCTGAATTGAAGAATTATATGTATGATAGTGATGATGTAATATTAATAGTAATATTATTGTAAAACATTATTCATTTTCAGGCAACTCTCAAATACAGCCATAAGCATTTAATTTAATACAAGAGAAGTATACAAGTATTAAGGATATGGGCTGATCTGAGTTTAGACATTTAGTTTATAGAATTCATAATGGCTCTTCAAAGCTTTCAAAGTTTCAGAATTATTTATAATACACTCTTAAAATATTTCCTTTTTTTAGATTACCATAAACTTTTAAAGAAATCTGCAAGTTCTATTAGTCTCTACCGAAAGCAGCAAAGTTTTCTGCTCCAAACCCCTCCGAGAATATTCCTCCGGCGCTCTTTTAATGCACGCCCCCAAATAATGGAGCGCAACCATTAATTTTCATTCATAAATAGTTGAAAATTGTTTCCGGCTAATTGATGGATATGATTGCACATACCTATGCAGGCACACACACACACACTAGGAAAGATGGCGAAGACGTATTCAAAGGGCAGGAACAAAACAAAAAAGTGACACACCTTGGCAAAGGCAAAGTGGAGAAGGAGAGAGTACGATGAAGTGCTGGCCAAAGGAACGGGTCGAAAAAGTAGCGGAACATCTAAGGACGATGGCTGAGGCCGCTTGCATTTGGGTGCGGCAAAAATAAACAGGATATATAGGCAGAGAAAGAGAGAGAATGAGAGCACAGGCTGCAGCGAAGCGCAGCAGTCAGCTGAGCGCGCCACAATATATGCAATGGTAATAGAGCGCTAAACAGAGAGAGTGGGAGCCGAGCCAGAGAGCGAGCTTAACTGCAAGCTGGCGTCGACGTCGACTGCGCTGCCCAAGCAGGGGCGCCGCCGAGATCAAGGGCTCTAAAATATGAAATCCTTTTTTACGAAAACTTTGTTAAAGAATATTGATCGAAAAACTGTACTAAAGAAAATATTTTTTTAAAGAAATTTATACAAAAAGGAAAAATATACAAAAAAAACGGAATAAGATCGATTTTTAAAATTTAAAAATTCAAATATAAGTAATAATATTTAAAACTTTGTTATGGGAAAGTTTTTTTTAGCTTAAGATATTGGTATGTAATGGTGGGGGGATCGACCCCCCTTGGAGAGTCCGCTCCTGAGCGCCGTTTTTTAGGTTAAATGGCGGCTGCAGGCAGCGAAATGAAAACTGCGATGCCGGCGCTGCACGAAACGCAGCTGCATTTGTGTGTGTGTGTAGGCGGCAAATATATATATCAGAGTGTAGAGAAATTGAGATTTCGCCGACTGCGAGCCGCCCCATTGAGCCCCGTTTTACTATTCGCGCACACACACACGAATGCAAGGCGAAAAATCGACTTTGGGTGTGGGCACTTTTGCCAGAACAAAATGAAGTGCTGTAACTTATATCCGCTGCATTCTTCCTCTGTTCGCTTACTTTTATTCGCCAGCGCCGCAAAGTATACCACACCAATTTTCACAACTCTGTTCGAATTTCGAAAAAAACTGGAACTGGAAAATCTTCTTCGTTGCAAATTAGTTTCAAAACTTAATTGGGCACGCACACATTAAGGGTTTTCGAACTGATTCCGATGTATTTTTGAACACTACGTGCAAGTGGACACACGTATGCACATATATAGGTACATATATGTATGTGGGCGTAGTTGCGTGAGTATGCAAGATGTGTGTATTTTGATACCGATATACAACAATTCAGAAACGACGACAATACGACGAGAATCAAAAAACACAACTTGCTGCCGGAGAGTGCAAGAACTAAATGATTAAAGTGTTCGATTGCCGCCAGGATAACTGCAGCCAGGACTTGGCGACGGCGCTGCCGCGTCGCAGTCCGCGACGTCAGCAGCAGCAGCTCCTCCTCTCCTCCAATTGGCGTACAGTTGAGCACGGTGGGCCCCAAAGAGAGTGTGGATCAGCGGGAGCGGGAAAAGAGGGGCGAATGCATAGCATAACTGCGTAGTTTTGCACTGACATGGACAATGGGGCTAATTCAAGCTCAAAGGACACTTGGGGGCTGGAACCGAAACGAGATATCTTTAGCTTATTGAATATTAAAATTATAGTTATTTTTATTCCATTTGGTATATCTGGGAACTTTGATCTTCATTGAGAATTTTAAAAAGCCTAAGCTAAATAAAATAAGGAAATACAAAAATACAAAATTAATAATAAATAAATAATAAATACAATACAATAATAAATACAAAATACAAAAATGTAAAATTTTAAATATTTTGATGCACAGTGTGACAAATTAAAGTTTCGATGGTTTTCGGATATTAGAGGCATACATGATCTTCTCCAACTCTAATGAATTTGTAAGGCAATAGCTTCAAGCAAAGGAATTTAAAACCATTATGAGAAGACCCATTATGAAACCTTTTTTGGTATTCTAAATATGCAGGACCAACTATTTAAGTTGTACCCATTGTACCCCACGAAAAATAATGGGGGAAAGAAGAAGGCGAAGTCAAAGGAACTGCAAATAATAAAAAGCTGCAGCCGTTGCGCAGGCTGCAACAGCGGCAACATAACGGTATTCTCACTCTCTCTCTCTTGGCTCGGCACTTAACCGATGTACCCTACATTTGCCTTCGCAAAACATAAACAAGGAAATGCAGCCGTGAACACGAAACGAATTGCGGTAGGTTCTCCATTCGGGAGAGAGCGAGCCCCAAAGGAGAGAGCGGGCTAGGAACACAGAGAGAGAGTGGGCCGAGTATTGTAAGCCGGCCGCATTGCTGTTGTTGGAGCTCAGAGAGAGCCGGAAAGGCACCCAAACAAACACTTAAACAACAACAACCACGGCAGCTGACTGAACCGAAGGTCCAAGGAGGTGGCAAAGAGGGGCTTGGCAGCGAGAGAGAGAGAGAGCGGAGAGAACATAGGACGAGCTCAACTTGACATCATCATCATTTGTGTCAAAAGACCATTGAACTCTGCGAGCGGAATGGAACCCATCTCAGCTCCACGCGAATATTAGGGTGTATCGGCTATGTTGGCGAGGACACCATCGAGGAATACCCTACTGTATAGATATATGTTGTTTCTCTCCTTCTTGCTCCTTATACAAATTTGAGGAGAATTTATGAAGTTTTTTTTTTGCCCGCCCGCAAGTGTGCAACAATCCCTCGCTCTCCTTATTTACTTGCGGTTTGTTTTGTTGCTGTTTGCACACAATAACAACAACCCGACCCACACGCATTCGTTTATGATTAGGTGTTGGCACACAATGCCTTCAAAACTGTCAAATAATTTAACCCTTAATATTCGAATATTGAACGCTCTTCTATGAACTAAGCGATTTTTTAGAATATGATGTAAATTCATCCTTACTTGTAAAGTTTTTTGTAGGTTAATTTTAAATCCTCCTTAGATTTCCTTTAAAAATTTGATTTTAAAAATATATTATAACATTAAAAAAATAGTTTGGCTTAAAAACAGCTTTTAATTCTAACCAAATCTAGAGAATAAATCGATAACCGAACAAAGTTTTTTATATAAATATCTTTCGAGGGCAATAAACTTTTCTAGATCCGAACTTTCCTACCTTAAGACACAATTCTATTGAATTTTGCAGCTTGATGCAGATTTTTCTAAATATGCATAGGAGCAAAATTGCAAGATTTTATATTTTAGTTCTGGTCTTACCTTACTTGTTGTTAAAAGGTTGTCTAAAAACGAGAACCATGTTGTTGCAATATCTGGGTTCCTGCGAAGGTCTGAAGATTCGGTTCCTAAAAATACGGTCTTGAGCTGGGAGACAATTTCCCTGTTGATTCGAATTATAGGTCGTATTTTGAAAGTTCCATTGGGCATGCCTTTGCTGATGTGGATTTATATCTCGATTGTTTGGATCTATAAAGTTGTTAGCTGCTGCTGATCTATTTGGAGCTTTCCACTGCTGCGGATTCGGAAATCGATTCAGAGATTTCCAATTCGTTGAAACATGGCCAGCTTGTCCGCTTTCAAAAGAATTTTGTGGGTTTCGGAAATTCCCGATTTGGTTTGGAACACAAGGCGGCGGTGGTCGATCAAAGGGTCCCAAGGGCCTTTTGATGGGAGTATGATTGTAGAAATTCCTTTGTGGAAATACCTTTGGAGAAAGGGGATCGCCATCCTCTACCTTAATTTTCGGCGATATGTTTTCAAATCTGACTGGAGCCCCAACAAATTGTTGTGGGATGATGTCACACGTGTCCAACTCCATTTTGATGGCGATGTCTTCCTCACTTGTACACTCAGACACGTGGTAATTGTGCCTGCGTTTCCTCTGCACATTTTCACCAACATCCCTCGATTCTGGTTCCGTTTTCTTCAGTGCTGGGATTTTAGCCAGCGCCTTCGATCTTTGACGCTGAAATCGCCTACGCTTGTTCCGATTGTATTTCGGGGATTCGCCCACATAATCGAAAACGGGCTCCTGATTGGACATGATTTCAATTAGCTCTTATGCCAATAAACTTTTAAATTAACTTTCTACAAACGAAGAGTGCAAAAAACGAGGCTAGTTCCAAGAATCTATTAAAAACGTGAGTCGAAGCGCTGCCAGCTTTTCAGTGTCTAAAACTTTTTAGCTGGGTTGGCAGCGCTGCAAGACCACTTTTGGGGGCTTACCAACACTGCTCGATTAACAGTTTGTACAGGATTTTTACCGATTGCTTAAATTTATCGCTTGAAAAGTGATATTAATTGTATTCAAATTCCGTTTTCTTTTCTTTTCCGGATAAGTATATAGCCGTATACACTCACCAATTGACTTACCGTTACAAAAATGACATCATAATTTGAATTCTTCTAATATCAGTAATAAAACGATTGGAAAATATGTAAATGTTACAATTTTGATGTTTTATTCAAAAAGGTTAAATTGGTTGTTCTGTTTATCGTTGTTTAAACTTTAATAAGTGTACTTGGTTTTAGCTGCTGCTGAATTTAAAAATACAAAAAATAAAAATACAAAGTAAGTGAATTTTAGGGAAGTACATTCAACACAAGATATCTGACGGAATATTTGAATACGATCTTTTTTAAATGTTATACATTAATAACAAATCATTTCTTGTGTTGTTTTTTGTTGTTGTGGATATCTTCGTTCTGTTGGAAGGTTTTTGGTTTGGATTCCTTTACAGACAGAGCATCCCTGAGAGTCTTGAGGCCCGCCTGTACATACCGGAATACTTCGTTCATGGTGCTATGCAGCGTCAGCGGGCCGTTCTCGTGATCCAGTTCGCGAAAGAAATCTAAAAAAGCCAAAGAAATCATCACCTCAATAAGTCTGATCATCAGGTTTTATGCCCTCTGCTCATTATGGACGCGTCGCGTTTGCATCCATTTACCGTTTAACGGTTACAGGGCTAGAAAGTGAAATTTGTGGTATTTTTTAGCAGTATTAACCAGGCATGGACATTTTTCTGGACCCGAAACTGATAAGAGGCTGATAAGAAGCGGGAAATATTATTGCCGCCGCAGAAGCTACTGCTGTCGCGGGTCGCGTCAAAGAATTATTTAAATTACTGTTCAGATATATATATATGAACTTCTTCTGCAGCAGATCCTTTTGCTTTCTGCCGCAATAAATGTTCAAGCAGCATAACGAGGGACGTTGTTATTGCTTTCATCATTGCAGCAATGTTTCCACGCTGTTCAAATGCTGTTCTGCAATTACAATTATCAATAACAAATTATTTAAATCCATTGTTTATTTCAGCTCGCAAATAAAAATAGCAGAACAGCTGTTTTCAGACGCGTTTGCCAATGGAAACACCTCACGTCCGCCTATCGCGTTGCCAATCGAAAATACACAAAAATACCGGAAAAATGCCTTTAGATTCAACTCACCTATATGATTGCCTGTGCGCACCAATCGATCGGCTTGATCCCACAACTCGAGAGCACTATTCACATAGCTCAGATACTCATTCTGCTTGCAAAGCTGATTGTGTATATCCTGAGGCACTATTTTGCCAGGCGGCATATTCGAACTGGAGCCCTGAAATGGATAAAAAGTATATATAGTATTTGATAAGGATCCTTTGTGGTTTAGCCGTCAGGGAGACCAACCGAATTCGATGGTGATTTGGAGGTAGACGTGTTGCCGTTGACAACGCGAAAGAAATCCGTTAGACTGGCAATGATGGCGCGACAATTGTGCCTCCGTAGCTTATAAAGCTTCAGCGATATCAACGACTGGCAACGCAAGCTATTTAAAAAATAAAATATATTTTAATTCTAATTTTTTAGTGAGTATAGTAAGTAAAAACCCACCTGAGAATGGCCACTTTGTTGTGAGTTTCATGGCCCTTCGTTGACTGTTGTTGGTAGGGACGAAACTTAGTGGAGATAAATCTGCAAGTTGATGGAATATTAATGTTGAGGACTGCTCTGACCACTTTACTCACTTAATTAGCGACAGGGTGTCCTTGTACATGGTATTTGTGGCCTGTTCGGAGCTGCAACGCTCCATGGCGTAGGCGGTCAGCAGGAAGTAGACAACGGCCTCCAGATACAAGGTGACCTGGTTGAAGGAGTCGCGCTCCGAGTCGGCGGCACGCTTTCGATTGATGGCCTCCTGCCATAACCATAACTCATTGATTTTTCTACAGGACAAAATAATATAAATATTTTTTAGATCTGTACAAAATATATATTGATGAGGATCGATTGATAATAACCTGGGATTGTCGCTGGTGAGCTCCACTTCGCGATCAAAGTAGGAGCGGTAGATGAGACGAGTGGCAGGTGCCGGAGGATTCCTTGCTGCCGAGGCCACTGTTGGTGAGGATGCCGAGATCGCCGAGGGCGGAGGCGGTGGTAACTGTAATAATAACTGTTTCACTAACTGTAGGACTAACTGTGTTACTAACTATATTGTCCCTAGAAATTTCGATAGCACATTTTGGTTTGTAATTGAGACTTAAGTTTTGTGTTAAATTGCATATATCAAGATTCAGGATATTACTTAGGCTCAGATGACACATTTAATTTATAACGTCAATTTATTGTAGCAATTTTTCTTTAATGGGACTTTAGACGAGCGCGAGAAAGAATCAAATATTTTTGGCTGCTCTACCACTAACACCAATTATAAAGGCGCGATATCATATTAGTCCTGACCCGCACTTCTTTAAACTCGCACAAATTAAAAATTGTCACAATAAATTTAGGCTAAAAATTGAATGTGTCATCTGAGCCTTACCATCACAATATGTTTTTAGTACACGCATGCTCTAATGTGATCATTTTTAAAACATTTATATAAAATTCTAGTTTGGAAGCATCCTTTAAATTCCTCCCATAAACAACATCATGGCTCACAGACTTGGCAGGCACAATATAAAAATCTTCTTTAAATTTTTAGTTGACTTTTGTTCAGCCCGAATAAGTTTTTAGAACCGATCTCCTCTTTAATTTTAGAAGATATAATATTTATTTTTGCAAATGATATAGGGCTACCTGGGCCAATGAGTCATGGGGACTTAGAACTGTTGTGAAAAAATATTTGTACATCTTACGTAATTTTTTTTTCTTTCGCTCCAGCGCTCCGGGCAGTCTTTCACCGTGTGTCCAAATCCCGCACAGGCGTAGCAGGAACCGGGCTCCCTTTTCCGTTTGAGGCAGTCTTTGGCGTAGTGACCCCTTGAATTACAGTTATTGCAGCGGAAATCTGCATTCTTTTCCCATGAGCGCTCCGAAGAATTGGCCTTCTTCTCACGTTCAGGCAAACGAATTTCTGAGAAGGCTTTCAGCAGTTGCATTGGCTCGGAAAAACATTGTATGCGCGCCTGGTCGCGCAGTCCTGCAGATGGAATTCCTTCGATGATGTTCTCCATGAGCTCCTCCATGTCGATGCTTATGTCCTTCGCCAACATGATCTTTTCCTCGTAGTATGAAGCGAACTTTTCTCCACAACGCCACTGACGACCTTGGAACGCATTTCTCAGCTCTCCCTTTGAAACTTTGGCTCCAAAGGTCCAGATCAGTTGTTCACAAAGGCGATCGGTTGGCTCCAAAATACGCGAGGGGTTTGCGTGCAGCCAAATCTGAGCCTTACCCTTGAGTTTGCCAATAAGAAGTCTTTGGGTACCAAAGGTGTCCAACTTGTACAGCTGCGCTATGTTTTGCAGTTGAGTTACCCAGTTACGGGCGCACGATTTGCCATCGTAATCCATTGTGATTTCTTTTGCCAGTGCCAGCGAAGCTTCCATGCGGAAGTCGTCTAGTGACGTCACTGGATCAGAGTCGATTAAACCCTCAAATGCATCTGCGTTTTCCAAATTCGGTTCCATCTCGGTTTTTATCGACTGCTTATAAGGAATTGCTATTCGATTTGGCGGATCACAAAGTGCCTCCGGTGAGAGGGTCATCAATTATGGTTTTGAACACGAGGTTTGTAGCCCGATCGCACTTTACCAGGTCTTTAGCTGCAAGAAACTCACACCGGATATAAAAGATTTTAATTCTTTGCAATATTTATCACTTGACAACCGCTTCCTTCGAGGGTATAAAGCAGAATAATGTCACAGTCCGGGCTCTCCCTTCTTTTATCTCTTAATTTAAAGTACAGTGAGATTTGCACGAGCCCTGCATTAGTAGAGTCATAGTTCCCTATGATTTAATAAACCATTCGACGGCTATGATGACTATGTGCTCGACGGTCCGCGAATTCTTAAGAATTTACATGCAGAAATAAAGAAGCGGCCTGCAATGGGTTTCTTGTAATCGAATTTCAAAGTTGTGTCATTTTCTATAAAGTATAGCCCACTGTATAATGGGAAGCTAAGGAATCTAAATCCGAAAATTGCAACTTTCTAGCTCTTATACGGACAGACATACGGACATGGCTAGATCGACTAAATCGACTCGCGTAGTGATCCGGATCACAAATATTTATATACCTTATAGGGTTGGAAACCCTTCCTTCTACCTGTTACATACTTTTCCCCGAATACAATATACCTTTTTACTCTACAAGTAACGGGTATAAGAAACTCGCAATTTTTTTTTACATATTTCTGCCCCCGCATTTTTTTATTTCAGTTTATCTTCATTTTAATGCATACCATACATTGAGTTTAGAATTATATATTTTTCCTATTGGTGTATGCAATCTTAATGTCTGGATGGAGTAAAACCGGCCTGTTCCAGTTTTTACTCTGAAGTGAATTTGATAACATTGGCGGATTTCCCGTTATCATTATATAACTTCCCTTACTGAAAAAAATTTTGGAGTACAGCGTAGCTAATTCGAACAAAATTGGATTAAAATATGATGCTGATTTTTTCTGAATATGTAAATTAGTTGTATGTTCCTTAAAAATTACATGGTTGTTTTCATCTTACCTTACTTGGTGTGAAAAGGTTGCCTACAATTTTCACCAACATCCCTAGCTTTTGGTTCCGTTCTGTTCAGTGGCTAGGATTTTAACCAGCGTCTTTGATATATGACGCTGGAATCGCCTACTTAAATTCCAGCAGCAGCAGCAACATGTGGCCGGCAGCTTACCAGATACGCGGTTAAATTCTGTATTTAAACTGAATTATATTTCCTTATCGACGGGCAGATACGAGTAACACCAGGAGCATATTTTAAATTCTTCTAATATATGTAAGTAATAAAACGAGTGGAAAAAATGTAAATGTTACAATTTTTGATGTTTTATTCGTTTGATTTATCAACTACTGTTACGGTAATTGCATATTAAATTGGTTGTTTCTGTTTGTCGTTGCTTAAACTTTAATAAGTGTACTTGGTTTTAGCTGCGGCTGAATTTAATTATATTTGTACAAAATATATATTTACTTCTAGTTTTTGTTAATGAACAACTTGTTGTTTAGCATTCATTTTGGTATTCGCCTCGCTTGCCCATCCCAAAGTCCAGCTTAAAACTTAATTCTGTTGGTTTTGCTGTTCGATCTGTCGGTTTGCTTTGTTTCACTACAATAACGCTTAACAAAATATAATTATTAACTATTACTAGGCGCGTTTCGTTTGTTGTTGTTGCTGTTTTTTGTTTTTCTTGTTGTTTTTGTTGTTGTCGGTTGCTTATTGCTGCAAGTTAATCTTGTCATTTTGAAAAAATTTAACTATAATTTCTACGTCGTTTAGTTTAATTCATCGTGTATATATATAAAAATATATATATAAGTAAGTATATAATTAGGCATTTAATTAGGTTTAATTTAATTATATGCTTGTGTGTGTCCGTGTGTTCCATTCTACGTAATTGTATTATTTACAGCGTTTTAATAATTAACAATACATATGTGTATCAATTTATAATAATTACACTTAGTTGCATTGCACAATAAAATTGCGCATATTCTTCATCGGCATTCTTTAGTGGCAACTTAAAATTTGTCTATAATTTAAAGGTTTGTTTTCATTTCGGTTTCATTTGTTGAATGCGAATGCCTTGTTTCCCCAGAACCATTATTAATAATAATTTAATAATCTTTTTTATTTTGGTTTGCTTTCCGTTTTGTTTTTCGTTACATTTTCGCTTTGATTTTCGTAGTTTTCGTGTTCGTATATGTCAAAAAAGAGTCAACAGGAAAATGCTGTCCATTATATTATTCCATATCTCTACTATATCCCAACCCCATCCTATCCCAAATCCTGCTGATTGAAATCGGCTTAAAGTAGTTTACAGCATTCACTTTTTTTGGCATTTAAAAATATATGTATTTCTTGTATATCGGCGGCTATATGTACAGCTTATATATCTATTTCAAAGGGCAAGTCTATTTCGATTGATTTTTAACTCGTTTAAGTCTACTAATGCACTATTAGTTGTTGCGTCTGTGTGAGAGTTTTGAGGCACCCATTATGAATTAAATCGAATATGTTGGGGATAGGTTGGATGTTGGATGGTGTTGAAACAAATAAAACCAAACGAAGGATACATTTCCATATATATATATTTAAAATATATATTGTTTTCATTCATGTATTTTGTTCTAAAAACGTGTTGTGATTGCTTTTAAAAAAGTTAATTTAAAATTAATAAAATAGTTGCATTAAACATAATTCATATTGAAATATTACAAAGAATTTATAGCTATAACTTTTCTTTATATAGGCGATAATATATATATTTATATTTGCTAACATTTTTCTTTACCAAGGCTGCAAAGCAAAATTAACTAAAACTTAAACAATTTAAAAAGCCGTTCCTCCTCTTTACTGTACGCATACGAAAACAAAATTCAACTAAAATGTTTGTGTTTTTGGGGGGAGAGGGGGGTAGACAGGTAAAGGGGGGCTGGTTACTTGTTTTTTGATCTTACACACTAGACGTATAGCTAATATAACTTGTAATGTGTGTTGGTTTTTTGTTTGTATAATATCAATTAAAACTAGGCATAAATATAAAGCTTAATATGCTTAAAACAATTGAAAATTGAGCATAAGGAAATAAGTAAATGGTGTGCATATACAAAATACATACATATAAAAAATTATACATTAATAACAAATCATTTCTTGTGTTGTTTTTTGTTGTTGTGGTTGGTTATCTTCGTTCTGTTTGGAAGGTTGTTGGTTTCGATTTCTTTACGTTCGTTACTCCTTTTGTTGACTAACTAAATTAGTAGCTTGTAGTAGATAATAGTTGCTAATTTGGCCTGACTTTCATTTAGACACGTTTGGTGGTCTTTCCGTTTCCGTCTCCGCCTCCGATTCCGTTGCTACTGCGACTGATGCGTCGGATGCGACACGGCATCCCTGAGCGTCTTGAGGCCCGCCTGTACATACCGGAACACCTCGTGCATGGTGCTATGCAGCGTCAGCGGGCCGTTCTCGTGATCCAGTTCGCGGAAGAAATCTAAAAAGGCATTTGAATTATCACTTTGGTCATCAGGTTTTAATTTCAACTCACCTATATGATTGCCTGTGCGCACCAATCGATCGGCTTGATCCCACAACTCGTGAGCACTATTCACATAACTCAGATACTCATTCTGCTTGCACAGCTGATTGTGTATATCTTGAGGCACTATTTTGCCTGGCGGCGTATTCGAACCGGAGCCCTGAAAAGGATGAATGGTATATATAGTAATTGATAAGGATTCTTTGCTCAGATTTGCTAGGGAGACTCACCTGCGAGCCCACCGAGTTCGATGGTGATATGGAGGAAGGCGTGTTGCCGTTGACAATGTCCCCCCGGCCAACGCGAAAGAAATCCGTAAGACTGGCTATAATGGCGCGACAATTCTGCCTCCGTAGCTTATAAAGCTTCAGCGATATCAACGACTGGCAGCGCAAACTATTTAAAAAATATAATATATTTTAATGCTAATTTTTTATTGAGTATAATAAGTAAGAACCCACCTGAGAATGGCCACTTTGTTGTGAGTTTCATGACCGTTCGTTGACTGTTGTTGGTAGGGACGAAACTTAGTGGAGATAAATCTGCAAATGGATGAAATATTAATGTTTAGGACTGCTCCGACCACTCCGCTCGTCCGTTGTAGTGTCGTTGGCACACTTTACTCACTTAATTAGCGACAGGGTGTCCTTGTACATGGTATTGGTGGCCTGCTCGGAGCTGCAACGCTCCATGGCGTCGGCGGTCAGCAGGAAGTAGACCACGGCCTCCAGATACAAGGTGACCTGGTTGAAGGAGTCGCGCTCCGAGTCGGCGGCATGCTTTCGATTGATGGCCTCTTGCAGGAACTGATTGTTTTTTCTAAGGGATATAATTAAAAAGATATTATAACCAGGTACCGAAAATAATGATTATTTTTGTTTAATAAAAAAAATAATTATCTCCATTTAATGATTATTTTGTAAGCAAAAAAAAATATCGCTCAGAAATAATGATTATTTTGTGAGCGATATTATTTTGCTTAAAAATATCACTCAAAGTTAGATTACAAAGATTTAAATGAGATTTTGTAGGTAGAACCACAGAGCTCATATCCAGCTAAGAAAAAAATAAATTTTCTTTGTATAAACCGCTTAAAAAAAAACAAAAAACAGCTTTTTGTATAAAAAAAACTTTCTGTGGGAATCGAACTCGTGGAGATTTTATAATTTTTCACTTATAATTACGTTTCCTGATTATAACCAATAAATATTAAAGCATATAGATTAATAATTACCTGGGATCGTCGCTGGTGAGCTCCACATCGCGATCAAAGTAGGATCGATAGATGAGACGAGTAGCAGGCGCCGGCGTGGCTATAGATGCTGTGGATGCCGAGGTCACCGAAGGCGGCGTCGTCTGCACCGCCTCGTTGCAGGTGGCGGGCACCACGGGCACCACGTTCACCACGGTTGGCGGTGGCGGTAGCGGTGACATGGCCAGCAGCTTCTTGCTCGGACTGCCATTTGGGGCGGACACATCGCCAGCAGCTGCCGCCGCCGCCGCCGCCGCCGCAGCAGCAGCGTCTTCGTGGAGCAACTGCAGCTTGTCGTAGGACAAACGATCGTGGTTCGCGGGCATTCGCTCGTGGTTGTTGGAGGGCAGAAGCACGGGCACCGGCAGCATTTCCTTGCCCATCTGCAGCTGGTCGCCCTTCTCCTTTTTCCGCTTCTTCTCCTTGTAGGGACTCGAACTGGAACTGGAGCTGCGCTTCCGCCGGCGACCAGGAGGCTGCTCCCGCTCGCGTTCTCGTTCCCTCTCCCGTTCACGCTCCCTGTCCCGGTCGCGCTCCTGCTTCAGCTGGAACTCCTGCTTCACATTGCCGGGCTTGAATTTGGCCTCGTAGCCGGCGTCTAGCTCGGGCTCCGGTTTCACCGGATGCTCATGCTTGACCTTTGTGGCCCCGGAATTCGAGTCATAGCCATTGGGCACATGCATCGCATTCGCCGCCGCCGCCGCCTGATCCTTGGGCGTCAGATGGCCATTCTGCTGGGCGGGCGTGAGTTTCTTGAGCCGCATGATGCGCTCTCGCGACAGCTTGCTTAGATCAATCTTGCATATAAGGGAGGTGAGATGCGGCGTCGTCGTTCTCGCTGGGGAAGCTAGACCAGCGCCCAGTTGCTGCGTCATCCGTGGCTTCGCATTGATGGTGGCTGCGACCACAGTTGGTACATCCAACTTGCCCTGCTGCTGCTCCTCCTGCAGATCCACAATCACCACCTGTCCCTGCTTCTTGGCGCCGCCCTCCTTCGGATTGAAGATCCTGGCCAGCGTGTTCACCTTGTTCTTGTCGCTCTTTGACTTTCGCTCCCGCTCCTTTTCCCGTCGCGCCTCATCCTCCTCGCCGCTGCTGCTGCTGCCGCCGCCAACGCCACCGCCTCCGCAGCCGCCGCTCGACGAAGAGCACTCGGAACTGCTCAGCTGCTGGCTGTGCTGGCTATGTTGGCTCAACGGCAGCGGCTTGTAGGCTGGCAACTGCTGTGCCGGCAACTGTCCAACTCTCAGCTGATCTTCCTGCTCGCTGCCACTGCTGCTCGGCGAACTGCTGCCGCTGCCCAGCAGCGCCGCCTTCTTCTGCACCGCGCCCGTCTTGTTCAGCTTGACTATCCGGCAGTTGGTGTTCTGGGTTTCCGTGTCGTCGCTGCTCGAAGAAGAGCTGCTGGACTTCGAACTCGAACCCGCACTCGAAGAGCTGTCCTCATCGGAGCTACTGCTTCCGGCTTGCAAACTGGTTGGCTTCAAAGCGGCGGCGGTTACCAGCAGTGGTGTGGCCACCTTTTTGGTGGGCGTATTCCCATTGGAGCTGCTCTGGCTGGAATGTTCCCGTTTCCGCGCCCTGCTCATCGCCAGCGGTGTCTTCGCGAGCGGCTTTTTAGCAGCCGTCAGCGTGGGTCCCTTCGTCTGGGAACTGCTGCCGGCGGAGGCGCTGCTCAGGTTGCCACTGCCGCCGCTCTGCTGCTGCTTACGCGGCCGTCCACGTCCCTTTTTCACTGTATCCGCCGCGGGCTGCGATTGCACGGAGACAACTGAATGCTCCAAATGCTTGGGCGTTGGTTCGTCATCATCGCTCGAGTCGAGAATAGGGGCACTTGTTATGGCCTTCTTCTTGCGCGGCTTCTTTTGCCGCTGCTTCGGCGACGTGGGCAGCGGCAGGATGGGCGTCAAAGTAACGCTATTGCTCGGCGGCGCCTTCTGTGACTGCGCCGGTGGGACGCGCATCACCGTTGTGATGGCGGCTGGGACACCGGGTAGCTGGAGAGTTTCCCCAGGTCCCGGCATCGGCACCACCTCGCCGCCAGCCGCACTGTCCGAACTGCTGCTGCTGCTCGAGGAGGAGCTCCCGCTGGCGCTGGTCCCGGAATCCGAGAGTCGGGCCGCGATCAATGCCTCCGCCGACTCGCGTTTAATTTGGGTTTTTGGTATCGCTCCAAGGGACAACTCTGGTACAGCATCGATGGCCTCCTTTTTCACCGCCACTGGGGTGACACTCAGGCCACCGCCATAACGCAGCTGCTCCTCGTCGTCCTCCTCCTCACCCTCCTCCATGGCCATGTGACCATCGTGATCGTGCATCTTCTCGTTCTTCACAATCGCCGTCGTCACATCAATGGACTCGGGTATGATTTGGGCGCCTCCTGGCAGGATGCCCGGCACCTTCATGCTCACATTGCCCGGCGAAACGCTCTCGGAATTTGTCTGGTTGGCCGGCTTATGGAAGAACCTGCTCAGATTCCATTTGTTGCTCTCCGTTGGCGAGGGCGTCTTGTTCGAAGAGCTGCCGCCGCTGCTTAGAGTTCCACCCGATCCACTTCCTGCGCCGACGACGACTGCATTGGAGTTGGCCGTGGATGCTCCTCCTCCATTTCCGCTTCCGCCACCGAATCCACTGGAGCTGAGCAATCCTGTTATTGTATTGCTGCCACGGGCAATGATCTCGTGCCTGTACTTCTTATTCTGAGCCCCGTTGGACGTCAGCGGCTGGGGACGATGGAGGATTTGCTGCTGCTGCTGGAGGGATGGTTGCTGCTGTTGCTGCAGCTGCTGCTGCTGGTGGTTGGGATGGTGCTGCTGCAGATCGTTCTTGCTGCTCGACTCGCTGCCCGACTCACTGGAATCGGACTCGGAGCTGTTGCTGCTATTGCCCGCCGATCGACTGAAATAAAATCAGGGATTTAGTTTTGTTCTTTGGCTTTTAGTAATCTCATCGAATCGACTTACCCTTCCTTCTTTTTCTGCTCATCCTCCGATTCGGACAACTCCAGATCGTTCTCGAGGCTAAAATAAAATAAATAACTCAAACAATTAAAGATAAGTTTAGTTAAGTTCTTTGTAAGCAACTACACTCAGAAAAAAATGTTCCTTAATTTAAGTCCATTGGTTTTAAAATGGCTAACAAGTCTATACGTGGACTTCAAAATTTTCATCCCACATTAATTTTGAGTCTAAATGAACTAAAAATGGACCTAAAGCCATATGGACTATTACATGGGCTTAAGTCCATTTAAACTTAAAATGTATATGGGATAAAAACTTTTAAGTCCATATATAGCCTTATTTAGGCATTTTTAGCCCATCGTTCCTTAATTTAAAGTTCGTGGACTTAAACCAAGGTAATTTATTTTTTTGGCTGTATGTAGTATTTTTAAGAAATATTGTCAGCTATAAATTATCTATAATTATCAACGCGTAGTGACTAGCGTATTAATGAATTAGTTTCAAAAACTTTTAACGCTGGGATACAATAAACAAATAAATTAAATTAAATAAAATTATTGAATAGGAATAGTATATTAGCATGGAACTTAAAATTTAAATATAATATCCTTCTAAAAGGACCTCTTACCACGAGTCTTGCTTCTCCAGCGAGTGATTCTTTTCCGTTTTGAGCGGCTTGGCCGGTGCCGGCGACGTCACAACGGAAGCTGCCTTGGGCGGAGTGGGTGGCAGTTGGTGGAGAGGCGCCAGAACCTCCCCCGCTGACGTCGTCCCACTTGTTGCTCCTCCGAGGGGCAGTTGGCTGGCCTGCGGCGGCGTTGTGAACAGCGGGGCGATGGGGGAGGCAATGGGCGCAATGGGCAGCAAAAGGGGCGTCATCAGCGACGAGGGTTCCGCGGAGGGCGGTGAACCGATCATATCGATGGCATACTTTTGCTTGTTGGGGGCAGTCAGGTTGTAGTTTTCCCGCGTTGGCGCATGCGGCGTGGCCGCTATCGACGTGAGAGGCGTCACCCAAAAGCTATTTGCTATATCGCTGATTATCTTGTTGACGTCCTTCTGCAGAGTGAAAAAAGGAAGGGTTTATAAAAGATCCTAAGGCTTGTAAAAGATGTAAATCAGTGGTGACCAGCAACGGAATAGACAATTTCTCTACCGCTGCGCTGCTAGCGTTTCGACGCTCACGTACGCTGTCAAGCAGAAAAACTTCTGCTGGCCACCACTGGTGTAAGCGATGCAGCAGCAGTGTTTGAACTTCAGAATGAATAAAATGTACTTTTAAATACCTAATAAAATAAATTTAAAACTCTATCAATATCATTGGCATCCCAATATAAATACCCCTTCAGCCGCTGCATCGTTTACAACATGTTCCTATTACTTTTAAAGGTTGTAAACGATGCAGAAGCTGTCTCGAAAAGCCAGAAAGTAAAAAATTGTGAATGTTTGATCTATAAATGAATAAAATGTACTTCAAAATGCCTAATAAAATCATTTAAAACCTCAAAAAATAGCATTGACATTCCAAAATAAATACCCCTTCAGCGGCTGCATCGTTTACAACATGTTTCTACAATTTTTAAAGGGTGTAAACGATGCAGCAGCAGTCTCGGTAAGCCAGGAAGTGAAAATTGTGAATGTTTGATCTATAAATGAATAAAATGTACTTTTAAATGCCAAATAAAATCATTAAAAACCTCTAGAAAAAGCACTAACACCCCAAAATAAAAACCCCTTAAGTCGCTGCATCGTTTACAACATTTTCCCACAATTCCAATAATTTTACCTCTGGCGGCGGCGGTTGTTGGCCCGCTCCGGGTCGCTTACTAGCCGGTGGTGGCGCAAAGCGACCGCCGGTCCCATTGTGCAACGCTGGAGGTGGTGGGCCAAGAAAGGACTTCTCCCGCCCGTTGGGCATCTGGGTGGATAGGGGTGGCCCCAGCGGCGTGCTGGCCGGGATTCCGCCGCTGCTGGCATTGTTTGTGGCGCTGGACGAGTTACTGCTGCTGGAACTGGAACTGGATCTGGGCGGACCGCGGGGCGGGGCCATGCCACTACTCGACGGAATGTCGTTCTTCATGGGCTGACCGGGATAGCCGCCGCGGCCATTGTAAGGCGGCTTGTTGTCCGCCTGCTTCAGATATGTTGGCGGTCGCTGCTGTTGCTGGTAGTGCTGCTGCTGTTGCTGTTGCTGGCCGGGCAGCGAGGAGCCTGCGGACGCGGAAGTGGACCCTCCTCCTGAGGAGGAGGCCGAGTTGGAGGCGGAGGAGGGTGAGTGGCCCAGGGATTTGCCCTGCGACGGCAGTGGCGCCTGCAGGCGCGGATTGCCGGCGCCGGGCGCACTCCTACTGATACCCACAGTCTGATTATTAATGTACACCCGCGCCTCGACGAACTCGCCCAGGGCGGCGGTGATCTCCGCATCATCCTCGGTCAGCCGACGTGGCTCCGCGAATAGACTAGTCTCCCGATCGTCGATCTGTATGCCCTGCTGTCGCTCGATTTTCTCACGCTCACGTCTTTTTCGCCGCTCGTACTCCTCCATGCTGCAAAAAATTATATAAATTAAATTATAATTTTATAATCTTTGAAAGGTCTGAATTTCCTTTTATTTTGCTTTTATTTCTTTTTAGTTTTGCAGTAACAGTAACAACATAAATTAGAACAGCAAACAAACATCACAGGTAATACAACAACAACAACAAACATGTGGCGTACAAACAGCTTGGATTTCCAAAAAGGTTTTTCATCCAGGACAAACAAATTGTCATGCATTGCGTGCTTTGAATTCGACAAAGATTTGAAGCCAAAAAGCATATTCCGGGTGATACTTAAAGAAATTTTTGTTAGTATCCTCTTTTCTTTTTTTCAAAAATGGGTATGGTTATTATTATTATACCCGGTGGTCGTAGAAAACAGGGGTATACTCAATTTGTGTTAATGTACTTATGTAAACAGGGATAATGAAGAGTAATTGGTCCTAATTTGGAAGTATATTACTGAAATTTTATTAATTTTATTAGATTGATGGAATTATAATTTTTTAGAGAATGTATCCCCTAAATTGGTTACATGTTTGGGGCGGGGCAAAAGCGACCGTAAGTTACACTTAGAATTTGTTTTCGAGCAACACTTTCTTTCTTAGAAAATGATTTTTACAAACTTTATTTTATATTTTTAACAGAATTTCTAAAGCCAAAATAATTAAAACAAATGCCAGAAGTTAGTTAGTTTTCCTGAATGCCTTTTTCTAACAAATTTTTTTTGCATCAAGTTAGTCAACTTCCTTAACTTCTCAACTTAATTCCGTTGTCAATATTTGACCCATGCTTGTGGACATGGGTGTTGTTAGGTGCCAACAGTTTGACAAGCGTACGATAGGTGTCAACGGTTAGACATGCACACACGCAAGCACAGTTTGATGGCTATGAAAAGCTTGCTTTTGTTTGTCTTTGTTTTTTTTTTAAAGGAAGCGGGGGCGTTAAAATTGTGCAAATGTTTGCATTTGATTTTGTCTGGTTTTTCAGTCTAGTTGTAGTGGTAGTGGTGCAGACATGCTTGAGAACACAACAAATATATGATAGAGGTATGAACATGAACATCGACGAGGAGAGAGGAAGAGAGAGACGGAGACGAAGACAGACACAGACAGAAATACAGTTCAGTGACTCTAAAACTTACTTATAATTTTGGCTATACAAATTGTTATTGTATTGCTGTAGTTGATCTAGTTGTTGTTGTTGTTGGGGCTGCTGTTGCTGAAGGAGGAGAAGGCTGTTGTTGTTGTTGTTGCTGTTGCTTTGGTGCTGCTGTAGTTGTTGTTGCTGCTGCTGTGCCATAACGCGCGCTTAGTACAAATAAAATAATTAAATTATCCTCAGCTGAGAGGGCACACACACACAGACAGGCAGACAGACACACGCACACAGCCAAAGGAAATGGGGGGTGGGGTGTGGGGTTTTGGGGGGCGACTCTGCAACTAATCTTCTCCTCTCTTTCGCTCTATTACTATCTCGCTCGATTGCTCGCTTATGTTATCGTTGTAATTTTGCGACGTTGAAACGCCGCTTTGTTGTTGCTGCAATCGCAATTGCAGTTGTTGTTGCTGTTGCTGCTCTTCTTGTTGTTGCTTCTCTTGCTTTGCTTTTGTTTTTGCGCCTGCAACATTTTGGAATTCTGCAGTTTGACAAGCACTATCGTTGTTGCTTTTCTGTTTGTTGGTTTTTTTCTTCTACACGCAGACTTTTCTCGTAAATGCTGAATTTGATTTGTTTGTTAGGGGATTTTGATCGTATCTTCTATAGTCTTTTATTGCTTGAGTACGTTGCTAAAAGTGTGGGTGTGTTTGTTTGTGTTTGTATGAGTAGAAAAAATAAAGTTGCAGTACCTGAAAGGAAAGTAGAGAAAGAGAAAAAATTAGTTGCCTACTTCTCAGAGCACTTAAGATATCTTAGGAAATACCCAAGAAATGACCGATTTGGAGATTCCCTTTAACGAAACATCTTAACAGAATCTTAACATTTCCAATGCAACTTAAAAAATATTTCTAAAAATCCGAGTTTTTCCGGCAAAGAGTTTATACTTTTTATTCAAAATCTACTATACCCTTGTTTTATACAAGTTTGCGTACAAAAAGCTCTTAGAACTAAAGCCGAATGGCATCCCAACAACAGAGAACACCGCACAAGTTCTCTAGGGTGGTACTTATTTGAATACTTTGATCTTTTTTGAAATATTATAAAATCAATTTTTCAAAATGTTGCTTAATCAATATATTAGTCGTTAGTTTATATCCCCTATTACAGTTTGAATTTTTCTAAGACTAGCAGCTTTAGCTTCAGGTGATGGGTCCACCCTAAGGCCCACACATAAGTACGTGTATCAGGCAGCAGTGAATGTCACTCGCCTTCTCATTATGCAAACGGAAACCCAACCGCCCGAACCTCCCACATATGACTGCGAGGATTATGGCCGACGCGCGTCACATCCTGTGTCCTCAGTCTACAGTCTTCAGTCCTCAGGACTCAGTTGTCGCCGTCATTTGGAGAACTTGCCACAAGAACTGGAAGCCGAGAACCGAGGAGCCGAGGAACCGAGAAACCGAGGAACTGCGGCATCTGCTTGGCTTGGCTTGGAGTGCAGCGCTTAGATTCACTTAACCCGAGACTGGCAGAGGACAACGATGTACTTTTGGGCGTATTCTTATGGAAAATTTGCAACTTGAACTACACAGGCTAGGGGGTTTTGCTTTACTAAAAGAGCCACACATTTAAATGGCTAAAAAAAATGTTGTCTATAAACCCTAAAGGAAAAAGGAAACAAACTCGAGTAGAACTTAAAATAAAATTTATATTTAAATAAACTAATATCAATTAAAGTTTTTATATTAATCTTAAGGATTTTTCGGAACAGCTTATAAAAGCCCTATTCCATTTTTGTTCACACCCTTTTGAAAATTTAACATATTTGCCTTTCTATTTACACCCTTTACCCATTTCTTTGATACATACGCTTCCATTTTTTGTTGTGTGAGAAAATGTACTTTTTATTTATGAATGAAAAACGTGTCAGTTAAATTAATTTTCTGGTCACAAACGACAGACGTACCAAGCTGACCCTTTTTCCCTTTTTACTCAGTCGGAAAAAGGGTCAGAATGACTGACTGACTGAGTGCGAGAGGAGTAGAGTCACAAATCTGTTGGCTTTTGGGCATTCACTTTTTCCTTTTTATTTTGTGTTTTTGTAGCTACAATTTATTTGTCTTATAAATTTTGTTAACATCTCAACTGAAGGAAAGCGAGCCGTCAGAGAGACAAACATTTAATTATTTTATTTCGGAAGAACTTTTCGTACCCCCACAACAACAGTGCTGGCGAATAGTTTATGCACGTCACCGAAAATAAATGGAAGAGGAGAAAAAGCTTGACAAACTTTCTGATGCTGGGCCGCCTTTTTGGTTTCTGGCTATTGCTTAATTTATATGTATATATAAATGTATGGCAGGACTGGACTGGTCCTGGGCAAAACCACTGAACACCCATCCTTTGAGCCAACCGAAAAACCAACCAATCCTTCCTCCCATCCTCTGTGGCTGATTTAATGTGCGTCCATTTAATCTAAAGCTACTATAATTTGTCCTTTTCTGTGTGTATGTTTTTGTTTGTGCGTTTCGGCTTTTTGTATATTTTGTATATTTGCATTTTGACTTTCACTCTAGTCTGGGGATTGCAATTCCATTGGTGGCTTTCATAAATAATTTGCACAGACCATTCAAATAGTATGCAAGCGGTGCTAATCTGAAGCTTTAACAGGTTGAGAAAATACAAGAGTATTTCGATTTAAATCTGTTATCAAGATATCAAATCCAGATGACTTCATATTAAAAACTTTAAGCACTAAGACTTGGAAAATAATAAATAATAAAGTGCTGTAAATAGAGAAGTTTAGTAAATCTATCAATAAGAAATTTAATTGTATTTTAAAGGTTTTTCTTTGGTATTCTCTATTGAAGAGCCACTCCTGATTCATTGAGCCTTCCACATACAAATGTCTACTTATTTACTTTTATTTTTTACAGCAAATACTGTGACAACGAAAGAGTCTCGAGCCCAAAATCATACAGACACTGAGCAAAAATCACACTAAGATTCTCAAGATTGTTTCTTGAAATAATTTGCTGATTCCACAGTTTAAATCTTAAAAAATCTTAATAAACCTTTCTGATAACTTTAAGGTATTTTAAAATATTTGTTATAATAAAACCTGAGATTCTTTATATTTCATCTATTTGCTTCTCAGTGCAGACGACTCCAACCGAGGCGAGTTCACACTCAAAGGCACCTCTGACGCTTGTGCTGGGGCATATGTTATGAATTTTATGCAAATATGTTTTCGGAAGAGAAGTACCCCAACTCCCCAATGGCACTTCCATTTTCCTTGCAAGAGTTTAGCACAATTCGCGACGTTATAAATTCTTATTTGTTTGCCGTTTTCCAGTGGGTTCGCTGCTCTATTAACATTTAAATCGCTTTTGGGGGTGTTACAAAAAGGAAAAAAAAAAACAGAACAAAATTCGTCTGAAACAAAATCTCATAAGTTTTGTAAGAGGGGATTTTCTATGTTGAGAAAAGTTCGAGTAACAAGTGTTGATCCAAAAGTTAAGCGCAAGTTTTAGCTTAGTAATAAAAAGGAATCGGAAAGTAATGTTTTAAAATGGTTTGTTACTACCTATTAATTTTCTTCAAAGTAATCAATTTAACAAAAGTAAAAGTGAGAATAATTTTCGCGGGGGTTTCATTTTGATCAGCCTAAATGGGAATCAGGTTGACTTCATTCATGGGGCTACTGCAGTCTGCTCATCGTGAATCATTTAACAACATGCACAAACATTAAATTACGCATGGAATTCCTTTTTACCGAGGGAGAGAGAGAGCCCCCTTAGAAACCAAACCCCATGGCCCCCCGACACAGGCAATGGAACACACAAGACACAAGCTCTTGGCATAGAAAATTCAATTCAATTCAAGGGGCAGGAGGCGCAGGATGAGGCCAGGACTAAGGACGAAGGACGAAAGGCTGGATGAAGACCAAGACAGAAACGAACCAACGAACACATGCGACTAATTTCATATTCATATGCATATTTAGACTAACTACCAGCCGAGCCGAGGGAGGTGGTGACTGCAATACAGCAGGGCAGAGAGCCGAGAGCACAAGATGATGACGCTGGGAAAGGACAGCGGAGTGGGCAAGGATATCACCAAGGAAAGCAAAAGGCAGTCACTGCACACATTGGCACGCCTAATTTATAACACAAAAGTCTACTTAACTCCCCTATGGAAACTACAAGCAGAGACGCCGCCGCTAAGCCGCCAACTGTAGAGGTGAAAATAAAAACAAAAAAGGAATCTAGATAGAGCATTTTGGTTTGATCGAAGCATGGAATACCCAGGATCCTATAAAGGATGTACCGAAAATCGTAATACAAACCAAGTTAACCTTAAACTTTCTTTGAATTTGAATGAAAATCAGAATACTGAAGAATTCGCGTTTTGATGTTCTGTTATTTCTTAGGTTTTTTTATTTATAAAACTTTTTTTGTTTTAGCATTTGCGTTATAAGGAAATAAGTAAAGACAAATAAATTTGTAAATACTAAAGAATTCGCGTTTTAATATTCTTCCAAACTAAGTGTTTATTAAATAAAATCCCAGCTTTTGTTTTAAAATGTCCACATATAATATAACGCCTTTGACAAGGGTATTCTGCACCAAAGAGCAAGATAGCTAGAGTGGGCTGTATAGTGAGTTGTGTGAGACGGGGGTATGAATTATCCCCATTTTGTTGGGCAGTGCATAAACAAAGCCAGGTCTGCTCTCCTCGGAGTGTGACTACGGGGTGTGTGTGTGCTGGACAGGATTTATTATCAAATGGGCGCCATAGACTAACGACCATAGCCACAGTCGCTTTACCTCACCGAGTGTCCTCCCTCCTCCGCCTCCTGCCACCACCTATTTCCACATCCTGCCTCTTGGATGGCACCGACGAGCACAGTACTTTCGTATGTCTGTACAAGCAGAGTCAACAAATTTTATGGTAGTCATTAAACTTTCTTTCAGCAAAGCGCCTCAAACTCGAATTCAACTTCGACTCCACTCGGTTTAGGTTTAGGTGGGTTAATTTATATCTTTAAGGTCTTCCACCTGCAGAGAAAGCCAGGCGGCAGCAGATAGTTTGTGTCCCTGGCCTGGGGTTGGAAAATTTATTTAATTAATTTGAGCAGTTTAGCTTTCGCTCGAGTGTAAAATCAATCTGTTGGCTGAACATTTTAATGCCTTAAA